ATTTCAAGGAATCAAAAAAACTTTGTAATTGTCCAACATTAGCTTACAATTGACTGTTTTTAAAGAATTAATTCCAATATAACAATGTTGACATCGCTCAAGTTCCAGTTAAGTTAGACAACATTATTTGTGCATTATTTTAGGTTTTGTTTATTACTCACTAGCAGTACCTCATTAAACAATTTATTTAAAGTTAAGTATTATTTCATGTTTTTTTAATGTGTAGGCTACTTGTATCTACACAAATTTTGTGGTTTGCAGGAAGATGCCTTCTCCAAGCCGACCGATATCTAAACAAAGATACACGCAAGAAGACGTTGAAAAGGCTTTGGACGCCATAAAAAATTATGGGTACTCCATATCCGCGGCAGGCGAGAGCGTATGAAGTCTCAAAGACTACTTTGTATGACAAGCTGAAAGGAAAATATAAGGAGAACGCGCCGATCGGCTGTCCTGCTGTTTTATCGGATGAAGAAGAAAGCCACATTGTACAGTAGGCATTGGACATGGCCAAAGCTGGATTTTCAGTCACCAGGGACCAGCTCGTTGAAAGTGTTGCCCGGCTCATAAAAGACCTGAAAAGACCAACGCCATTTAAAAACAATGTTCCTGGTGACAAGTGATTCAACTTATTCCTTGGCCGCCATCCCGAGATCGCCAAAAGAGTCTCCCAGGCATTCTCGTGCCAATGTCACAGAGGGAGATATCCGGGCATGGTTCGGCGAAGTCAAAGGCTACCTAGAGTCTAAAGGACTACTCAACATCTTCCTTGATCCTCGTCAAATTTTCAATGCCGACGAAACAGCATTTTTTTATGCCCTAAAGGAAAAACAGTCCTCGCCAGAAAAAGTGAGAAGGCTGTTTACCAGCAAACTGGCAACGACGAGAAGGAGTGCTTGACAGTTCTGGTAAATGCAATGCTGCAGGAGAGATGGCCCCACCAATGGTGGTTTTTAAATACGAAAGAGTGCCCCCTGCCATTGTCAGAACTTTCCCTGCCGATTGGGGACTAGGAAAATCGGAAAATGGGTGGATGACCCGAGAAACATTCTACGAGTATATCGCCAACATTTTCCATCCTTGGCTTCAATCGAAAAACATAACTTTTCCAATTGTATTGTTCATCGATGGGCACACATCCCATATGATCTTCCATTTCTCAACCTACTGTTCGCAGAATGACATAGAGGTAATAGCCCTTTATCCCAATTCCACGCACCTCCTACAGCCCCTCGATGTAGCCGTGTTTCAGCCACTAAAAACACAGTGGAAGACCTGTGTTAATGACTGGCGGTTCAGACATGATGGAAAGAGGATGAAGCGAGAGGAGTTTTCTCCTCTTTTGAAAACAGTCTTGGACAAAATTTGGATGCAAAGGTTGTAGTAAATGGGTTTAAGGCCACTGGTCTAGATACACTTGACCCTGAAAAAGTGCACTACAACCTCATCCTCAAAAAAACTACTAGACCTGCAAAGACAAATAATCTTAAAAGAAAGGCCGAAGAAATCCGAGCTCATCTGAGCTATTTCGAGGTTAAGATGGGGCTTGAGAAACTTCAGAAGTTTGCCCGCGGAGAAATTGAAGTTGAATACCAGTCATTATTTCAAGTGTGGAATCCCATCAAGAATGAGCTTGCCACCCTAAAAAAAGAAATTGCTGCGTCTGAGAAGGAAAATGAACCTCCATTTCCATCTACAACTTCAACTCCGGTTCTTAAACGGCCGTCAACCCTAACATCTGCTGAAGATGAGATTGTGGAAGACGTGCTGGCCTTTCCAATCGACTTTGATGAAGACAGAAGTGACCAGGCCAGAATAGTCGAGGGCCGGATAATTGCAGACGGCAACTCTTCCGTGGACGAACAGGGTCTGCAAGTTTCGTTCCCGTCAGTAGACATTTTTGTACATAGTGTATAATTTGTATATAAACTTAGCCTAAGTGTATTTTTATTTTAAGTTTGTCGTAATTAATTTTGAAATAATTTTAAATTGCACCCGCTGTGGAGGGACGTGGTTTCTTTTCATTCAAAGAAAAAGTTATGTCATATAAGTTTCGTTCTCGTCAGTAGATATTTTTGCACATAGTGTATAATTTGTATATAAGTGTATTTTTATTTCAAGTTTGCTGTATTTAATTTTGAAATAAAAACTATCACGCAAACCAGTAACTTGCATTCCACTAATGAGCTTAATACTTTGAGTTTTCCCTTGGACTGTGCGTTGTAATAGGCCTAATATATTTTGTTAAATCGACTGGGCAAAAATACATAATCTTGGTGGCCATAGTAGTTAGTAGTTTGCTACTACTGCGAGTTATTTTGTCGCTTACTGATCATATCGTCATCAGGTATGTTACTTTTTATACTAACGGCATTAAAAACTTAAATTCAAAGTGGTTCAATTTAAAGAATCCAGTGTTTAGAGTGGAGACCAGACTCGTTCGGATTTGGGAAGCCAGCGTTCGGATTTGGGACGTACGCCATTCGGTATTGGGCTATTCATAGTTTAAACGTTCAGCACTTGTATTACGTTTTTTTACAATATTTGCCAAGAGATACTTGTTGTTTGTGACATAAAATTGAATATTCGTTAAAAAAAAAATCCTTGTAAAACAATTAATCAAGCCTGGATTTAACCAAATAGGATAAAAATACAATAGAATGACCCAACCTCCTCTAACCATTCGGAGTTTGGGCTGTTTACCTTAATATAGTTATCTTGAGGTTAGATCAAATGTCTAGGTTCAACTGTTTGTACAGGCCTACTAATAGGCTATAGGTAATGTTACCTAGCACCAGCAGGAATAACCTATTTCATGAATGTTGATACTCTAGGACTGTAACTTATTAATTTCCCTGACGGCCAAAGTTTTCCTCTAAATGAGAAGTTATAGGCCTAAACAGGCTACAGTTATGAATATAAGTTAGGCTTTGCCAGAATTATTAGCGAGTGCTCTACTGTCTTAGAATTGAATTGCTGACCAACTCAAATTTGACTCGCTAATCCTATAAGTTAGGAGTAAATAGGTTATAGTTGTTTTAACATGAAAATTGTTGGAAGAGCTAACTTAATTTCACATATTTAAGTTACAATGACACTGAGAGATCCCAGTTGTATTTAACTGTAGCCAACTCAAATTATGGGTAACTTACACAGTTTCTGAACTGGGCTACGCTAATATTTATTGAAACTATCGATTTGATTGATTATTAAACCTTCATACGATTTTTTCACCATCAGCAAGTTTGGTTGCTTAGGTTATAATTTAATTATATATTAGGCTAGATATACTGTAGGCTACTTTTATAGATTATTAATCAATATTTTCAATTTGAGAGTTTCAATCAATATTAGCGTAGCCCAGTTAAGAAACTGTACCCCAAATTATAATGATAGGCCCTACGGTACGAAGATATATTTCAACCCATCTCTTTAGAAGGTAACATCTTAAAATAACACTTAGGCCTATTAGGCTATAACATTCTCAAAGAAGTAGAAGCCTATGTAAGTTAGCTATGAAGTCACTAATCATAAGTGGACATAGGCCTAATAATTTCGTTGATAATCAAACAAAATTATTTTTTAGTTAGAGCAGTTTTTACTTACATGAGTTTTAAGTTAACTGTTGGGGTTGTTCAGTAGATACAATGACTAGACTATAACCTTAACAATGGCTCAAAATTCAAGACGAAATCCACATAAAGTGCACCATTGTATTGTTTCTGACAATTTAGAACAAAAAGCCAGTTGTAGATAACAAACTAACACAATGCAAATGCATGAATCAATGAATAAACAGTTTTTTTACTTTGAATATCAATCAAATTCAGGGTTATGTTGGTGAAGTCAACAGAAGTGATGTAGATGTAGCTTGAACTTGGATTGGAGTGGATGGAATGGAACAATGGAACTGCAATTTCTTGGAATGATCAGCTGTGCTGTCTCTGTCTGCACAGTTAGTAAAAACACCTGATTTTATTTGTCAGCTACTCAGCTCCCTCCAGCTGTAAATATTTTTGTTCTTAGTCAGATGTGACAACCTTGCTTTTCTACATTGACCTTCCACATTTACCTTAGGATACTGACGTTATCATTAGTCAAAGGCCATCAGAAGATTGTTCAATTCTATAATTAATTTATGTTCGTGTTTGTTCCACAACTTCAAAAAAATCATTTCAGTTTACAATTAAGGTAGTGTTGTTGAATATCACTGAGCTTTATCATGATAAGAATCATAAAAATTGATTTGGGATTTGTTATTTTTATATTTTTTGACAGATTTCTTACTATATATTCAATTTTAAATATAGTTATTTGTGGTTCTTCTTACTAATTTGACATAAACATAAGTGTACCCCTCTCCAAATTCTTTGAGCACAAGAAATTTTTTGTTTCACCCACATTATGAACATAAAAACGAATTCTTCAAAACAAAGTTTCAAAGGTTACACACAGTGTAAGGTAATAATCCAAGATGAGAGCAGCTGAGCTTTCTTTGTGAGTTTCACCGTAGATAAAAGGAATAGTAGGAGTGTCTACTCCTTTTATCTATGGTTTCACCAGACCAGTCTAAGAAAGACTCCAAATGCCTAATCTACAGACAGAGCACATAGCTGACGTTTGGCAGAGACAACCAAGACTGCCCAACAGATATAACAGCCGGCCACTCCAACAATGGAGAAAACCCCAAAGCCCAAGATGAATACTGTAGTATTCTAAGGTTTGGTAGGGAAGTCAAATGGATTTCAGATGTTTTTGTTCAGTTACTATGCTCCATAGATACCTTTTAAGATAGTTGTAAGTGTAGGTGTTTGTTGTTTCTCTTGTGAGTCTTGTGGCCAGTATATTGACCATGTGCTCAAAAACTTCCAAGTTTTCCAATCCGATCCATATAACTTGCTAAATAATGTTACAAAGTCTACAGAATTGTGATTATTTAAGTCTTATATCTACCTTATAATTACTTGGTTAGGGTATAATAACTCTGTGAATATATAACATTTTTTTATTAAAAAACAGATCCTTTTAAACATTAATTACACAACACGAGAGGATGATTGATAAGCATGATCCATTGCAATAAGTTGAAAATAAAATTGTATCTATTGCTTATACAGATTTCATTCTTCACCCTTCAAGTATCCCCACCTTCAAGTACACTGTTTATTTTAGGCGAGCCTCTCCTATAAAAGCTTTGCCGTTCAAGTCATGAGTTGACATAAAACCAGAGCTAGACGGAACACAAACCCTCGATCTATAGTGCTGTCTCCTGGAAGAGAGGACACTGTAACCGCCCAGTCCTTGATCAGACTTAGCATAGTAAAGTATTTTGCACAATGGTTGTGAACATAAAGCACCTGTGTAATCTGTAGTAGTTATACACTTGACTCCAAGATTACAGACCAAACCAGTTAATTATCAGCAATTTTGTTAGACAACCCTTCTATATAGGCCAGCTCAAGCTTATTTGTTATTGTGTCTATCAACACCGGTGGCATTTATAGATTTTGTTTTCAAGGGAACGGTAAAAACCCTGGTCTTGTTACTAACCTCAACCTGTTGAGAGAAAGTATCATTCATGGATATCTCAATGACAAATGTCATCTGGATCTGGTGGCGATCTTGCTTGGAATCAAAGCAGTGACTATCAGATTTGAAGGCATGAGCTATAACCACTCGGCCACAAGGACAATTTAAATTTTAAAAGAAAAAGGTTGAATATGAGATATTCACAGAGTACGCTAATGACTAAACTCGACTTTCTCTCTAAGTTTGTCTCACTGAGATAGTCATCCTATCAGTTCAAAAGTTTGTGTATTCCATATTTTGATTCTATACCAACAATAGACAAAGGTTAAACTGTATTGTAGGAGGATTGTTGGCGATTAACTTACCTTTGGACATTGGGACAAAAAAGTTTGAGTATTTCCTAAAATTTATATTAACAAATTCTGTGTGTTGTGAATATCAAAATACTTGTACCTAACTAGATGAGGTGAGAAACGGGTAATCGTTATAGCATTCCTTTGATATATTGATGGTCAGTTTGGTTCATGGACCCTTATCAATCATCCTTTACCTGAGAAATTATCTTACAATAACATTCAAGCAGCATTACAGACAACAAATCTTGTGCGCAGCGTCTGGTAACTTTACTTCACTCCTTTGCCTACAGCCTCGGACACGGACTTGAACCCATCCTTTCTGCAACAATACAATGTCAGAGTAAATCAGAACGCTAACAATGTTTTAAGCTCTGCCGATTGACTTTGCTATCAAGAACTAGAAATGGAGATTTTAATTACAGAAGGTATCTTCTAGGCATATGGGAGTTGGATTGCTGAGTGACAGTTCTTGCGTAACAATCCGAAAGTTGGTTCAATTCTGAGTAATGTCAGAAGCTTTTGATGGTTTAAAACTGGAACCAACCGTCCAGCTGGGAAATTAATCGTCAGACTTTTTTTACAGTTCAAACCAGACCCAGCTGACCTTGATCATTGGGCTTTTAATAAATGATTCTGACCAAAGAAACGTCTGATCTAAGTTAGTAATGAAGCTACAAAGGTAAACTCACTCCGTTCTACACCCAATCTCCATTGCAACCGTCGAAAATATAAGTACAAGGCTCCATATCCATGAGTATAGCCAATTCAACACCAACGTTTACATAGACTTACTGCAACAGGTCGTCCAGTTCTTTCTTAATGCGTGTCACCCGAGGAGGGCCGTGATAGATGAAAGCAGTATACAGCTGGATAAGACTTGCTCCAGCCAAGATCTTATTGTAGGCATCTTCTCCAGAGAACACCCCACCTACACCGATGATCGGGATCTTCCCTGCAAAAAAATTTATCTATATGGTAAATAAGGTTAAAATGTCAAGATTTAAAAACATTTTGATGGGATTACAGAATTACATGAAGTTTATTTTGGAACATAAAAACAAAAGACTACACACAAAATGTCAATATCACTGACAATTCTTTTACAAGGAAGATTTGAGAGGAGAAATATGTCTCCAGGTTTGATGGTGACAAAGAAGTCGTTGTCGTTAGTGTTGCCAATATCTGCACATTGGTAATGTATTAGTTTAAATTGTATCTAATCTTGAATGCGAAGAATGATCAGTTCACAAAGTTTTCTTTGCCATGTTAGTTGTTTATACTTTGATAATTAACATTTATATAACAGACGCTATAGTTTAGAATAAGTTGTAAGGTATTTTTCAGTTTGCCTTGGTATTTATTCAATGATAACAGAAACAGGTAAAACAGAAATTAGTAATTGATAGACACTGTTGGTGGCTGAATTCTACTAATTTTGTGGTATCCAGTAACACTTTATTTCAGTATTAGAATGTAGCTTAACACACTTAATTGAGCGTCCGACCGAGTATGCTGCAATCGTTAACTGAATTCTGTTTGTAAATACTGACTTTTAAACGGGGAATCAAATGTATATTTCTCTTCAAAGTCAACAAAGGTTTGAAAAATCTACATGGTAAACACAACTCTTTTTTGTAGGCCTACATACAGATTTATTCTAATTAAAATTTACCCTTTGTGGCAGAATACATCTCTGCTATGAGCTCCGTAGAGGCCCCAGATAAAGGGGCCCCGCTCAGGCCACCGCTCTCCTGTTTGTAAGGCCCCGTCAGGCCATCCCTCCCTACTGTAGTGTTGGAGATAACAAGTCCATCTACCGCACACTGAAACAAATGCGAGATCCTAAAAAGTGTTTAAAAGTTGTAAAGAATTCTAAAAATGAAAAAGACTCAAAGATTTTCAAAGAGCAATCTTTAACGATTGACAAGAAACTTAATGCAGGGAGTGAAAACATTCATGTTGATTTGCGGTGAGATTAATTGAGTTTTGTAAATTGGACTAAAGGGTGTCCAGAAAAAAAATCAAAAATACAAGGACAATTCCAGGATATTTACTTTACTTTGGACTCGAAAGACGTCCGTACCTTAGATCCCTCCCCCTCCTATTTTATTTTTAAACTCCTTTTCATTATTAGTTCCAAGCAGATTATTTTAGTATGTAAACTGATGTAACAGAAACAAACATTAAGATTCACTAAATGTTTACAAACAATTTGTTTGAATTTGTTGTAAACAATATTAATGTATAATTTAATTTAATATAACAAGAAATTGAATGACACACTACCTCGGGTTTTGTAAGCACTTGGGCAATGTCTTTCTTTTCATTCGATGTGAGATCAGGCGCAAGCTTCACCAGTAGCGGAGGTTTGTGTGTTCCGGGCAGAGAGTTCCGTGCAGCAACCACCTGACGTAACAACTCTTCCAGCTGTTCCTTGCGCTGCCAATCTCTGAGCCCTGGAGTGTTAGGGCTACATATCAAACATGCTTGATCAAGCATGATGATTATGTAATACAACAATACGGCTATATCAAATGTATATTAAACATAGTAAAGAAATCACTTTTGACACTCGGAAATGAGACTGACAGTATTAGTGTCAAATAAAATGTAAGGAATATTGAATATTTTACCTAAAGTTACAGGTAGCATTTTTTATTTAAAATAGCTAATTCTGTTTCTAGATTCCTCAAAACCTTTGATACTAATGGCATAAAGGAATCGCGTATCCTTTATGCTTACTGACTTAAAATTCTATGAGTATTAGTTATATCCAAGTTCATTGACAACTGATTAAGATTCATTTCCTACAATAACAGTGACATTCTTATCTCCCACTATCACAGCAACATCATACAATTTCAATTTAAAAGTAGAAAACTTCCAGAAGAATATTAAGTAATCTCCTTAGAATGTAAATAGTCTTAGTCAATATTCCATTGCATACAGTTTTCAGATTACATTTAATTTTGATAAAAATCTAATTGATTTCTGGGATAATGATTAGTAGTAACAATAAAAACTGCAAGTGTACTGAATGTAGACAATTCCCCAACAATTAATGTAATGAAATTAATGTACTGACTGTTACCTTGATATATTTATGACCAAGTAGTCAGCTATTTCTCCAAACAGTTTTATCCCTTTGACGTAATCATCAACTGGATCACTCGATTCTTTATTTTTTCCCAGATTAATCCCCAGAACTCCATTGAAAGTTTTGTTTTGTTTCAACGATTCCAATCTCTTGTAGACCTCATCGTGGCCGTCACTATTGAAACCATATCTGAAATTAGAGTGAATACATAATTATAGACATACATGACCTGATATATACATGACGAGTCTTTAGAACATTGGTTACAATTAATTTGAATTCACAGTTTTTAGCAGAAGGCCTACAGTAGATCTCCACTTGTCAAAACTCCAACTATCTAAATCGCTTAGGTACAGAAAGGCCCCGCAGGGGGCCCACGCTTGCGTGGGTACGTGGCCTAGCGACCACGCGGACCCTAGCTCTTGCCCCCCCAGAGTTACCCCAGTGGGTAACTGCCCGGTGTTTGAACCAGCACTTCAGGTGGGCCACAGTTATAGACGACTGGGCAAGCCAGCCACTTTGGGTTGTACCCAGAGTGAGAGTTCCCAGTGACATCCTCTATCCAGGTTGGGGAAGTAGCCTTTCCTGGAGGTGAAATCGGGCAAGTACCCGTAAGCTCACGGGGACACTTTAGGGGAACATAACTTTTCACAGTGTGAGGGTAACGGCTGGGCGCACTCCAAAAGCCAATCCCTGTCTCTGAGCCCGGAAGGTATGGTTATCTAGAGTGTGGGGGGTTCTCCCTGGAACCTCTATTGAGTTAAGGGTGTCGCCACCTTTGGTGGATAGGTTCATCCGGGTGGGTCCCACTTCTATACCTGCTTCCTTTTATTCCCTGATGGCATGGCAGTGATGTTGGGCTGGATGGGCAAACGAAGTAGATCGGGTGCTGGTTTCAAGCCCGCTAGGGATATCTGGGGATCTATCGCCCTGGTTATCTCTAGTTTCCCAGCAATGGGTAGTGGTGCTAATAGGCGGTTGGTCCCCTTCTTCCTGGCTTTGATGGTGGGTCCTTCCTGTTAGAGTTTAGATAGGTCCCGAGTGTTGCTTGCACTAGACACGTTCAGGGCAGTTCATCATGGTCCTTCAGGGTGTCGTACCTGGCGGAACCCAGGTGGAATGGACGCTTGACCAAGTAGCCGGTATCCCTGGTTAGGATTGAGGGGCAACCCTCTTTCCGAAGGGATGCTTCGGCAGCCGGTGAGCCTGATGACCTTAAGTCATCCAGTGGTGTCGTGAAGGCTGGTGTGCAAGCTCTGGCTGATACCATGGGCCCGGGTCATATTTGTAAGCTACTAGGTTAGGCGTCGGGGTGCTTCGGTACCCTCGACAACAGTCTAAGTCTAAGTCTAGGTCTAGTTTAAGGTACAGAAAGGGTTTTAAAAACCAAAAACTACAGCAAAATAATCATTATTAGAGACAGCAGAAGCTTGACCATGGCAAAATCCTGAACATATCCCATGGTCGAATGGGACAATATCACCAACTCCTGCAGTCATGGAAACATTACCATGGTCTTCTATGATCGCCACAAAATCATGAAACTCCCGCAGTTGTTTGGAAATAATCATTGTCTCCAGTGGTCACAGAAACATCATCATCATCCATGATCAGGCAAAAATCTTGAATCTCCTGCGGTCATTTAGAAATCATGATTGTTTCTTGGAGTCACAGAAAACCATCATCATCCTTTACGATTGCAGCGAAAGTGTGAATTTACAAAACAACAAAATATTTTAACATGTTTTTTTATCTCAGCTCAGTGGTGATATCTAGTTAGCAGCTTTGAAATAAAAATGATTCGGAGCTGGTGGAAAGAGGCTCCAAACATGATTTGGAGCAAGATGGCTCTTGAGCTGATGTGCAGAAAAAGTAAAATCACCGCACAAACGGCAGGACGAATTTAGAAGTTTCCAATTGAATTGATTAAAAATAAAGTCAAAGATAACGGGAATCGATATTCACATTTGACTGGATTTTGTATTTTACAGAAATAATCGGATTCAAGATGTTTAACATTTAAAACTCTTTTACTTGATCATCACTGGTAAGCACCACTAAATTAGCAAGCTTTGCCTTAAAATGGAAGTGCTTTATAAAACATGTTTAAATCGTCCAAAAATTACTACATTAAAACATATCTCAAGAATCTCTCATACCTGTTTATGATGGCCTGATTCTCCGTCAGCCTGAACACTCGAGGCTTGGAGTTCCCCGGCTGAGGCTGCGGTGTGACAGAGCCGACCTCGACAAAACCAAAACCGATGTCATGCAGCCCTTCTACCGCCTCCCCTTGCTTGTCAAATCCTGCAGCCATGCCAATGGGGTTCTTGAACTTGAGACCCCACACTTCTGTCTCCTGGATGAACATTTAGTTGATATATTTAACTATTTATATTGTATGGGTTTAAACACTTCTAACTAGTTTCTGGCAATAGTAAAGCTCTATTTTAATGTTTATTTAACTGGCCCCTCGTTAAAAACATCAACTATCACCTTATTTTTCAAGCATTAGGACCTATTCAATTTGCTATGAAAACAACCTTTTAAAAGTATATACAGAGTAGGCCCTAACAGAGTAAACACATGGTGTGCCACACTCTAAAAAAATTGATTAAATTGAGCAATGAACTTTAACAAGATATCTAGCTTTAAAAATATGACAACTTACCAGAGAATTTCCGTCCACATATTTCGTCTTTGGAAGTAATTTGTATTTTGACGTTATCACTCCCAGATTATGAGCTGTCTCTGGATTGAGCTTGTGAACCGCTGGTAATACAATCGCCTCGTAAAACTTCTCATTTTCATTGTATATGTTGTAAGCAGAAAACAGACCAATTCCCCCGGAGAAAACGTAGACGCAAGACGTCAGCTTTTTCTGTACATATTAAAAGTAGGCCTATGTAGGCTATGTAAGAATCATTATATCTACATGGCATGGTAGGTACCGTTAAAGTATAATTATAAATTAAAGTTAATGGGTTATTGTAACTATCAAATTGTTCAATGCGTTTCATATTTAAGTTTCACTAAACTCAGATGGGTTATATGAGTATAAAAACAAAGCCAATACGTTTTTCAAAAACGCTTTAAAATTTCAAAAATATCCACAGACACAAAGTTTTTAATATCCAGATAGTCTCACTTTATGTGTGCTCCTACAATGTTTCTATAAAATAAGGACTAATTAATTTTTTAGCTTAATAATTGTATAGCCTAACTAAAATTTAGGTAGCTGAGTCCATTTAATTTCCAGATAAATGATATGTAGGCTACATCTTCTGTATTATAAGATATTCTCTTACTTATAGGCCCTAACTTAAGTACTGGTAAAAAACCTAAACAGTTCGAAGAAGCAATGAACCTAACTTAAATCTTATCTTTAAAAACATTACTTAGGCCTATCCTTATGGTAATAATAGTCTATGTTACTTAGATAGATTCTAGACACAAGACTATAGTCCTCGCCACCCTAAGTTGAGGCAGCCAAAGGCCACACTAGATACACGCCGTGCAGCCTTGGGCTGCCTCAACTTAGGGTGGCGAGGACTATAGAGTTTGGACCTTTACCGGTACCCTATAAAACCAAAGCCATAAGTTTCGGTAACACAAACATAATTAATGACAACAGGAAAAACGATTGAGGTAACAAAAAGAAACCTACGACATACTTAGTGGATTAAATAAGCCTTTTAAAGATCACATTGGATATGATTTTCCTGCGAAATAGTATTGAATGTATGTTTTTAGTATGAAAATTTTATGTCATATCCTAGACTAGGGTGTTTTAAAGAAGATTCTTTCACATTGCGCTGTGACACATGATATAGGCTAACTTAAACTTAATTGCTCAAATATTGATGCAAGGCTGCACTTTACTTTAGGTCCTACACTCATTCGAATTAAAATATCGATTGATGTACTTATCGATTGTTTAATTCGATATATCGTTTCGTTAGTTAGGTATAAGGTTAACCTAACCAAACTAACCAAACGATATATTGAATGAAACAATTGAATAATAAATATTTTCATTCAAATGTAGCCTAAATAGGCAACAGTAACGATAACCTAAATAACTTAAGTTACTTACAAGTAGCTGTTTTGTAGTAGAGGCTGTTCCCATTCTTCCACCCACAATGAAACTGAAAATTCACTAAGTTAGATTCATTATGTGAATAAAGCACAAAGTATAATTTTTACCTACATTTCCCAATATAATTAGCCTATAATCAAGAAATTTAAACAGAATATAGGTAAAATACTTAGGCCTATTACTAGCCTAAAGTTTTAAGCCTTCACTTAGGGCCTAGTTTGTATTGGATAAGAGCAGCTAAAATTACAATTAATAGTATTTAATACTGATAATTTATAGAGAATGATTGCCAATTGTACTAAGTTAATTCTTTCCTTACCGTAAGTTAACTACAGTAATATATAAGTATAATTGTCATAACCTCAAATCTTTTTGACGGATTTATGTAATATGAATATATGTAAACAACAAACATATTTTTCCAACTGTAAATGTCGCAATTGTGGTGGCCTTGATTAAAAGTCATGAGGCCCCAATGTTCACTTTTTGTGATTATCCGTCTTCTTTTATTGTTTATTCAGGAGAATGATATTGACTCATTACATTTTGTTATTTACAGACATAAATGTTGACAATGTCCTGTAATATTTAGTTTTAGTTAGTTATAAAGTATGACCAGACTTTTTTTATAGCCGATAGCTAAGCTATGGCGTTTTGAAAAAAAAAAACATGCTCGAGGAACGCTAAATGTGGTTCCTATCAATGGTGTTAATATGTTATTTTTAAGTTAAATATAATAATATATTACAGTTTGTGTCAACTTTTGATTTTGTTTGATTTTAAGGCACATTAAGTAGTTCTAGACTCATTATAGTCTCTGTGTCACAATTTAGTCACACAACTGCACTGTTCGTTTAGTCATGAGTTGAGTAAGAATCAGAATTATTTATTTGTCATTGGACATTACAAAAAATGCATTGACAATTAATTGTCATGTATATAGCATGGCTACAGTCAGGCTAGACATTACAGATAACATGTCTAATATGTTAATTTATGAGGTGTCAGCTCTGTGGATTCATGAGGTGTTTGTGTGGACCCTCAAGTCGCTTCCATTAATATACAAGAGCTAAGTACCTTGAATGAGCTCCAATATTGGCTTAAAAAGTGGAGGATAAAAGTCAACGAAAATAAGTCTAAACATATTTTTTTACACTGAGAACAGAGTACACAATCCTCCAGTATCCATTAATAATGTAGCTTTAACGGAGGCAGACAGTATACATTTAGGTCTAACTCTTGACATAAAATTAAATTGGAAATCTCATATCTGGTGCAAGAGACAGCAAATGGAATTAAAAATAAACTCAATTGGCTACTAGGTACAAATTCAAACTTATCATTTACTAACACCATTTTACTATTTAAAGTTATGATCAAACCGCATTCAACTTTGGGGGACCTCCAGCAAATCCAACAACGAAATTCTTGAACAATTTCAGGCTAAGACTGAGAAGAATTATTGCCGCACCCTGGTTCGTATAAACAGTAAAATTTTGAATTACTTCAAAATTAAATCAGTAAAAGAAATTATACAAACCATAGTAAAAAGTACCAAGAAAAATGAGAATATCAGAACAATAAAATTCACAATAACAATTTTTGGCAAGACTTGTTGATGAACAGGTTCTTGCTTCCTGTCATTTTTTTTATATTTACTTATTGTTCTTATAAACAGTTTGTAAAATAAATTCTGATAAAAAAATCAGTACGGTAGTTAGAATAAAAAAAATACCATTTCTATATTTGGAATATTAATATTGGAAATGGAATAACATATAACATGTTTGTTAATAGTCGCCGGATAGCTTAAAAATGTTGAATGAAGTTTCTTTATTCTCTAGAATTTTTATTTATTCTCCTTACATTGTCATTTGGGACAAGGTTTACAATTCAAAGTTGAGGCTCCAAATGCACCAAAATATAAAAATTCATAATTCCAAGAGTAAATAATAGATAAGTTGTATAAGGGAGTATGTTTTATTTATGGTTGACACTGCGGTGTCCTTAGTCAATGAAATAGGTAAGGTAAGCTATGGTGCTAAATTATTAAGGTATTTGACCAATGAATATTTAAAAGTTGGTATATAAGCAATACTGTAATTTAGAAGATTGTTATTTTAAATTTGTAGTCAATTAATTGTATACGTTCCGACTTTAAGCGAATTAGGGAAGTAGCTATTGGGCCTAATGTAGGTGGCATGGTAAGACCCATAAATTCATATACCTTTTCTATTGTTGTATCTAGAGGCCAAATACACCACCCTTTCAAAATTTTTTGTATGTGTGTGTGTCCGTGGACGTGATAACTAAAGTAATTTTGGTCCAACTTTGATAAAATTTGGCTTGAAGTTGTATGCCAGGGCGGGATAAAATTGAATGAGTTTGCAAACCAGCATGACCAGACCAGGGGAACGGGTTTTAAGGGGTAAAAATAGGGGTTCTCATTTTTGACCCTCAAAACATAAAATTTCCCAATCTCTCTCAACCATTTTGAAGAGCTTAAAAAACAAATAAGTCAGTATATTGACATGCTTTTACTGTTATTGGCCACGGATAAAATAAAAAAAAATGTAAATTTAAAATTTCCATGATACAGTATTCTTATTTTGAGAATAAGTTTAAACCATTTTAGTTTGCTTGTTTATGGATACATTTTGATTAAACTTTGTAAATCAATTTAATTTATACTAAGCTATTCATATTTATAACAAAAAACACACTTTATTACTCTCCCTGAAACAGCAAACATAGGTACTTGTTAAACCTAATGTTATTTTAATAGATTTAATTGAACGGAAATGGAAATTCGGTTAGTCTGCAGGTTTGCTGCAGCGGAGGTACTATTTAAGGCTTGGGTCGACTTGGGATATTGACTTTTCAGATCCATTATCTGTATAGATGGATCAACATTGTTTATAAGTTGTATCACAATATAAATCTAAATCTCCCAATCCAATAATTAGCCATGTACTATTAAACACAAATTAAGTCTGATTCCTTGGATTAAAACAACTGAATTGATTTCACTAAAATTTCACCAAAAGATGTTACGTTACTGGAAGTAACTACCGTACTTGGAAGTTACCGTACTGAGGATTACTACACCGTATAAACAAAACACACTTGGTCTATGATATAACCTTTGACTATTAATACAACTAAAACATACTCTCCGCTGTGTCAACTAGTATAGTGTTGGTTTATTTACTGCATGTTTTATTGTACAACTAGCTGTACCCACGGAGTTCATAAGTATTCGCATGGCTCAATCACGTCCCGGTTGAAGTTCGTTCTTGTTTTCAGGTTAGCTTGTTCGCTACGCAAACTCGCCTCCAGGTTGATGTTCGTTACATATATACATATATATATATATACACACACACACATACATAGTTCCTCTTTTATAGATATAGATTACAACATAAGCCACTAGAATTTTTTTTCTAAAATAGCTTCAAAATGCTAACTTTTCCCAACGTTGCCATCTCTTTGAAGCTACTTCAAGAGAGACCTCGGTCATCAAAAGTTCTATTTATAATCCACAAGTTATATGTCACGTGATCATGCTACAAGTGTCGCATAAATACAACACACAATACACTAAAGAAACATAACATACAATATTTACACAGTACACTTTAGGGAAGATGTGGATTTCAATAGGACAAATGCAAAGACACAATTGTATACAAATTATTTATTTCAACTTTACAACTATTTTGTGAACCTTCACAGTGTGATCGAGGCCACAGCTGGCCAGATGAAGGTCAATGCTCTCCTGATTGTCCTCCGTATTTACATTCACCGGACGAAACGCAAGCTTCTTGATGCTTAGGTGGTGACTATGGCTGTAAAAAGCGTTAAGGAAACACAGTAAAAAGTGATAACAATTAATAATAATTGAAAATGAAAATACAAATATCCACAATAAATATGAAGTAGTGCTTGGCAGCTTTGATTAGGGATATACTACCACAAAGCCATCCATTGTTTCAAACCCAGGAAAATACTCTCTTTCCAGCTCCTTTGTAAAAATTTTGTCTTGGTGTTTCTTGAGCCGGATTGAACTGATTTCCATTCAGGTAAGTCTGCTATCGTATCTTAAGTCCTTAAAACATGCGGTTTCTGTTGCAGAATGAAACTAATATGCCTACATTTTTAATACACAGCACAAGAACAAACAATACACAACACTGAGCAAACCCCATTTAGTCATTATTGCAGTTTCGGGGCTTTCACAATCAGGGTGTCTACCAGATTTCTCAAATGGAATTCCCGACTTTTTCCCGACTTTTCATTACCATTTTTATATAAATCCCGACCAAAAACTCGGTCCATTCTCCATGTTACTACACCTTTTTCCGTCTCCCGGTCATGGTACCTTCGTCAACATATGTTGTCACTTACGACCCAGCGAAATCACTGACGATCGAAACGTATCACATGCCAAGAAAATCCCGTATTAAATGTAGGGGTGTGTGAAGCAGCAAAACATTTCAACTCAAAGCAACGATTTGATTTTAAAAAATGTTGATGTAACTCGATTCGAAGCAACATGGAATTTTTCTATTCATACTTCTCAGTGGAGTGAAATATCTGTTTTCAATCATACATTAAAAGAACCAGTATTTCTGGAAATATCAGTGAGCTTCTTGCCTATTTCATAATTTTTACTTGCAGCATCATTTTGTTAAGTATGTTACCTATTTTATTTTATTCATTTTATAAATAAAGATATGTTTGGGTGTAAACAAATAAAAACCTTTGTAAGATTTAAATACTGAATCTTTCAATTGGTTTACATTGATAAAATAAGAGGATAGAATCAGAACTACAAGGTATACATAACTTCTTGTATGGCGAAGCAATGTCTCAGTGTATGCCATGTACTTGGATGGCAATAACCTGTATGGCTAAGCAATGTCTCATTGTATGCCATGTACTTGGATGGCAATAACCTGTATGGCTAAGCAATGTCTCAGTGTATGCCATGTACTTGGATGGCAATAACTTGTATGGCTAAGCAATGTCTCAGTGTATGCCATGTACTTGGATGGTAATAACTTGTATGGCTAAGCAATGTCTCAGTGTATGCCATGTACTTGGATGGTAATAACTTGTATGGCTAAGCAATGTCTCAGTGTATGCCATGCTACTTGGATGGCAATAACCTGTATGGCTAAGCAATGTCTCAGTGTATGCCATGTACTTGGATGGTAATAACTTGTATGGCTAAGCAATGTCTCAGTGTATGCCATGTACTTGGATGGTAATAACTTGTATGGCTAAGCAATGTCTCAGTGTATGCCATGTACTTGGATGGTAATAACTTGTATGGCTAAGCAATGTCTCAGTGTATGCCATGTACTTGGATGGCAATAACCTGTATGGGTAAGAAATATCTCAGTGTATACCATGTACTTGGATGGCAATAACCTGTATGGCTAAGCAATGTCTCAGTGTATGCCATGTACTTGGATGGCATTAACCTGTATGGCTAAGCAATGTCTCAGTGTATGCCATGTACTTGGATGGTAATAACTTGTATGGCTAAGCAATGTCTCAGTGTATGCCATGTACTTGGATGGTAATAACTTGTATGGCTAAGCAATGTCTCAGTGTATGCCATGTACTTGGATGGTAATAACTTGTATGGCTAAGCAATGTCTCAGTGTATGCCATGCTACTTGGATGGCAATAACCTGTATGGCTAAGCAATGTCTCAGTGTATGCCATGTACTTGGATGGTAATAACTTGTATGGCTAAGCAATGTCTCAGTGTATGCCATGTACTTGGATGGTAATAACTTGTATGGCTAAGCAATGTCTCAGTGTATGCCATGTACTTGGATGGTAATAACTTGTATGGCTAAGCAATGTCTCAGTGTATGCCATGTACTTGGATGGCAATAACCTGTATGGCTAAGAAATATCTCAGTGTATGCCATGTACTTGGATGGCAATAACCTGTATGGCTAAGCAATGTCTCAGTGTATGCCATGTACTTGGATGGCATTAACCTGTATGGCTAAGCAATGTCTCAGTGTATGCCATGTACTTGGATGGTAATAACTTGTATGGCTAAGCAATGTCTCATCTCAATGAATAGCTTATATAATTAATGTCAATAATTTGAATAATGTCAATAAGTTATATGGATACTGATAGTCAAAGTATCATTATCAATGTAACAGTCAACTACGTATATGTATACTGATTCAATGACGTATAGATACTGATTCAAAAAGCTATTTGGATAATGATTCAATAACGTATATGGATACTGATTCAATACCGTATATAGATACTGATTCCATAACGTATGGATGCTGATTCAAAAACGTATATTATGGACACTGAATGCCCATGATTCAAATCGTTATTTTGATCATCACTGAATCGAATTGGAATTCCGATGCATTTTCGTTTCATCCCCCACCCCTCAAATGTAATCCCGTTCCAATGATCAGAAATATAAGATCCAGAACATTTTTTTAAAGTTTTGGGACCCGTTCATCACTAATTTTGAAAGGTTAGATTATTCCCGACTTTCGGCCGAAATTCATGACTTTTTCACGACTTTTCCCGACCTTTCAAAATCCCCGACTTTTTCCCGAATTTCCCGGAATTCCCGACTGGTAGACACCCTGACAATGAATTACGATCATTGTCTAATCGTCTATACAGTTCTGGAGTTTGGCTTGTGTTTTGTATTAAATAAACGTCACTTTTGTAGCAAAATATATCGGCATCAAAAGTTGTTTTCTTTGCTTATCATCTTTTCTACCTATCATTTTGGTACCTAATTCAACACCTGCCAGGTCCCATAAGAGTCAAATGATGGAGAATCAACTATTTACTTCAACAAAATACAAGTGGAAATATACAAACATTGAAATAACTGTTGGTTAAAGTTTCCCAAGTGTTAGTAAAATATATAAGTTGCTCCCCAAAACTCAATATAAAAGGATACTCGCCGCTGAGCTGGAATAGAAATCGCCACGGCGACGGAACACTGGCCTTCCAGCCGTAGAGTCGTATTTCTCCAGTCTCCGTACCTGCTGCCAAGAGGTACTCGAGTGGGGAGAGAACAAAGCCATGGGCGAACGACAAACTCGTGATGGACTCCTTCAACATGACATAATGACATGGCAAGGCAGCATGGCATGGTTTACAAGTTTATTTCAATGCATATTTACACTGCATCCATTTTTCTATTCTCTGAATTAATGATCCAGTCTGATAAAAGGTTGACGTTAGGTAATAACCAGGACAGAGTTTGAACTGTTCCCTTGCAAAACAACACAAAATATTCTACTTAGAAAAATCATTACAAAATAATTACATTAAGTTACAATTTACAGTCTCAAATGTAAGTAGCCTACAAAACAAATATAAACAGTTTTTTTTTTCATTACAGGGTAAATCTTATTACATAAAGCGAGCAATAAAAGAATCACAGGGCCAGATATTTTACGTCCAAGGGCCATATTCTTTTAAATCCTTGACAGTAATTGTGCAAACAAATTTCTAAATTTCCATGTAAACAGCTTGAACATTAACAATGCTTCAGGTTTATCCAACACAAAAACAAGATCACTCAGGCATTTGTTACCATTTATTTATATTTTATTTACCTCAGGTAGATCTAGGTGGTCGGAGGAGGGGGTGAAGGGGCCAAGGGTGGGGTGGTTTTCTTCCCCTAATCCCCAGACCACAACTTTTCCATCCCTCGAGCCTGTGGCAAAATAAGCAGAGTCGTGGCTCCATCCGCAACACCAGATGATTCTTGTGTGAATGCCAGTGTTTTTGTCCGATCTCCCGACCAACTTAGGTCCTAAACCCAACAAGTCAAATTTGAGAAACTAATTAAACTAGTGAACACGGACACAGATTTTCGTGAATTATTGTCTGTCCCTCCCTTATGGTGCAGACTGTAACGGATTTGAAATGTGAAAAAGAAACTAGGACATGTTTACCTGTAAATAATGAGTGCTTGGAATTAGAATTCATCTATATATTTAATACGCGACATGAAACTTTGTGAACAATTAGGCTTTTTTGTTTTAAGATTTAACCCCACATAATATATACCAAAATGTTCGTCTAGGTGTGTAGATGTGCAAACTGGCTTTAGATTTTCGAAATATATCTTTTTAAGGGCGTGGGCTGCCCTCAAAGTTCCTTCCATAAGGATAACATTGTGACTGATTTGAATGTTATTCTATTCTGAAACAGATGTCAATACGTTAGTCAAAAAATTAAATCCCAGCTGTTTTGTTTGGTTTTGAAGTGTAAACAGTTTGCATGTTTAGAAACCCGGCAAAGAAATGTTACCCATAGGACACGAAGGAATAAAAGTTTTACATTATATTTTTGTTTAAACATGCCAAGGACCCGACGACATAAGAAATATTGCCAGTCGGACACGGCGAGTCAACATACGGCAAGCAATGCAAAACGTAAAGAGCCTAGACGTGGAGCAGGAACAGTTAGTGGCAACGTGTACTTACACTGACAAATACAAGAACTCAGCAGCATTCACTTGGCGAGGTGGCATTAAAATGTCAGAAATGTGGCGCACTACATTTTAAGAACAAAGAGGGCTAGGCGAAGGATTTTCATCCTGCTGCCATGAAGGAAAAGTGAATCTACCACCATACCGAGAAATCTATTATATCCAGAGCCTACTAAATGGAGCAAATCATTTGAGCAGAAAATACTAACAGAATATTTAGATCGTACAACTCTGTGCTCGCAATGGTCAGCACTCGAGCTAAAATTGAAGAACACAAAGGTGGAGGGCCTTTCATGTAAAAGGTGCACGACACAATTTATCACTCAATTGGCTCCTTTCAACCGTCAGAAGGGGAGCATCCCACATATGTCCAAATTTATATCCATGAACGTCGAAACCGCTGTTCAAGTAAGAAAAATTCTAAACAAAGATAATGGCTCTTGCAGCACTGAACTCATACACATTTTGACTCAACATTTGGTTGATATTATTAATCCATACGCGCAAGTTTTCAGCATGATGAGCTCCGTCCTGCAAAAATACTCCTACTGAACAGCAAAAAAACTTAGAATGCATATAGCCAACGATCGAGCTCAAGACCAACGTCGATACAACGACGCAACTTCTAACGACGTTGATATATTATCCTAATTTATTATTCGTGCGAATTCGCACGTGTTCACCTAGTTTTTGTATAATAGATCAGATTACTTGGAACTAAAAGTACATGAAAAACTTGTATTTGACAATCAATTGATCAAAAAATTGACAAATTTGACAATCCCTTCTCAGCAATATGCAGACACAAAACTAAAAATGTATGTAAAATTAATTGGTATATACTGAATTCTGACTAATGCTGGATTCAGATGCTATTAACCCTTGATTAATCAATAGAATCGATCAGCATCCAAGAAGAAGTTGAAGTTAAATGGTATAGCAAGTCCGAGGTTTGTAGTGTTCCTTAAAAAAATGGAAAAATAAAATGCCAAATGGTGTTAAAAAACACCACTCAGATAATACACACATTTCAAATAAAAAAAATATGATTTTTGGGATTTGAAACATTTATAATTGGATATTTTGAATACATGAACTATACACAACTGTATTTACAGTGGCAATTTTGAAACACTGTTACATTATCTATGGGTACAAGTTGTGAGTTTGAATTTCAACCTACCCGAGTCGCTCTTTTGAAAGACGGACCAAGTTCTGTCCCGAGAGACTGAGAGAAGATATTTGTCATTGGGAGAAAACTGGAGTTGTGTCACAGTCAACTTGTGGGAAACAAGACGGCCGACTTTCCGCCATGTAGAGGTATCCCTGGAAAATAAATCATTGATTGAATGGATTCAATGTTTAATCTACAACAAAAAATCTTGTTGGATATTAGAGTGTGTATTTATTAACTTACAAAGTTACATCATAACATCATGGAACATTTGTAAACTATAGTTCGGCCGCTTAGAAAGCGACCTCCTCCAACATTGGTTTAGCATTAGCGCGCAGGTCGTTTTCTAAGCGACCGAACTATAAATATTAGCCTAATATTACTTTTAACAAGTAAACAAAACAGTTTTCACACTTGACCCTCCCAATTTTTACTCAACAATCCATTTAAAGAATAAGTTCTTACATGACAACCAGTCTTTTACATGACGTATTCCTTTTATGGGTTGCTTATAAAATGGAACAAGGTTAACAGTTAAGTTAACCCGTTGGCATACTCAAATTGCACTACCTGTACCTGAATAAACACGGAAATTCCTATATTTTTGCTCTTTTATTGACTTCCAAAACTTTTTTTAGGGAAATAATTAGAGAGTGAAACCTGGGGCACTTTAAAGTTTCGTACTTCTCTATAAGATTAACATAGGAAACAAACATTGTTATGGAACTCCAGCTGTTGTCAGAAATTAAAAGTGAGAAGAAGAACATAATATGTTCTTTCAAATAGTAAATATTTCATTTCAACCAAGTAAGTAAATGTTTGAATCAAACTGTTAGCAAACTTGTTGACTGTTTACAATTAACATATTATGTTAATTGTAAACAGTCAACAAGTTTGCTAACAGTTTGATTCAAACATTTACTTACTTGGTTGAAATGAAATATTTACTATTTGAATTGGGGTTGGCGTAAATATTACATATTACAATGGAAGTAAACGAGAGAGCCTGGATAAATTGCTAAATACTAATAAATTACTAAAATAATCACTAAATAAATTACTAAAAAGAAAAACTGAATTAACACTGTGCTGCATTTCTTAGTAATCATTGAAAGAACCGATTTGCAAACTATGGAAACATAGGAAAGTCATAGAACACCACCAAGGAGAAGAAATAGAAATAATGTTTTTTAAATTTTATTTATAATCGTTATTATTGACAACCTAATGCGGCTATGAGTAAGGCTATTTGTAGAAAACACTAAAAAACAAGATCAGCTTTTGAAAAATGATACGATATGTACAAGAAATGTTGATAATATCGATCTGTTATGTACATCTTGAGTATTTCCATAATCTTTAAGTCAAATCTTTTAAAGTCATCAACATTTTTGACTGTTATCCGTTTTAAAAGTAACGCCTGTAATACTTAGCAATTGCTCGATTTCGAGCAACAGGGGCACTAGTTTTGTACTAAGAGTCCTAAGAGGCTAGCGGCCATCTTGGATAATTTCAAACAGCTGCTAATGAGTTATTTATCGCCGAAAAGTATTTTTCAAACACCAAATTTATTATAATTTTAAATATCTACTAAACTGTGAGATAAGAAATGTTTTTATTAGTTTTGAATTGTTCTCCAAAGGAGGCATATAAGCTAACGGCCATCATGGATTTGCCCGCCATAAGAGCAATGTTAATTTCGTTAATTTCAAACAGTCGCTGAAGAGTTAATTATTTAACATCACAAAATATTTTTTCAAACACCAGAGTGATTGTAATTTAAATATCTAGTTAACTGTGAGATTATACATTTTCTCTTTAGTTTTTTAATGGTTTTAAGAGTTAGATTGTCTAGGCTCCAAGGACTCTTAAACTAATATCTCCCTCCTCAGAAAGATTGGAGACTATTTGCAATTATCTATATGCCGGTCTATTTCACTCGTTTGTTAACAAGACAGTCGCGACATTTTGACATAAAACATAACCTCAAAACTCTAACTTGTTTACTTTTTTTGTTTTGCAGGACAGGTTGGGCAACCAAAGAAACTAAAAATACCTAATGCAGATAGACAGAAAGAATTATTAACCTGAAAAGTGCTGCGATCCCTCGGAATAATGTCAAACAATGTCGCAGCAATGTCCCGAGACAGCTGAGTTCCTTCTAGGAATTACAGAGCACATTAGCGGGACGAAAATGTTCAGTCCAAATATGCCAGTGGGTTAAATAACTTTTATCTAATGTACTGAAGTGGTGTAAACAGTGTTAACCAATAGTTGGTATGCCTAATAATATTCTTATGTCTAGTGTTTAACTACAGTTTGTAAGACCGGGACGGGTAGCGTCGTCCTGTAATCCAACTACAGTACTAGGAGGTCATGAATTGTGGATATTTATAGGCATGCACTGTGGATGCGATACTCCCTGGTGTGGATTAACGTACGCACGAGTGAGTACTCCGACTATCTGCAGTGCTATCCTGATAATAAGACCAATTCGTATATACCAAGGTCCAAGGGAAAAATGTAGTTCGGATTCCATTATAAACTGTAGGTTCCTTAGTTGCCATTAGCTGTATGGGCTATTAATTAACAGCTGTGTCTAAGGAATGTCGGCCTTAGTCACTAACAAGACTACAAGATTGCGCCACTCATCCTACACTGCTCCATTCATACTTGGTTTAAAATACCTACTTTGTATGGTCGCCATTTCATTGAAAAGTATTAAAGTATAAAGTATATAAGTATTAAGACTAATCAAACTACTATTACCGAAACATACTGATTCAAAATGAAATTTACCTGGGAGCTGATATTACAAAGACCTCTTTGTCGTACTTTGGCTTTCTAATAGATTTTTGCCTAAAATTCATTTTGCAACATGAATTTCCCTACAAAATAATTATGTAGGACATAAAAAATCAAAAAAATTATCAGATATGCTAAAATATGTTCAGACATGCTAACACATGATCAGGTATGCTACAATTAATAAGTTCACAAACCAACATAAGATGGCCGCGTGCTCTTCGTTGGTGGCTTTACACGCAGAAGCTATCACTTTGCCATCTGCGGATGCTGCTAGGCTGAATATGTCGTAGCCGTGTCCGTAGAGTTTCATGGTTTCTGACCACAAGAAGTCTTGCAACAGCATATCTTCCGGTGGAGGTGCTGTGGACAGGTTATGTTCAGTAGTACCAAGAAAATACCCCAGCCACAGAAAACCTGCAGACTAAGCGAATTTCCATTTGCGTGATTGGATTTACACTAAAATATCTCCTTAAAAATATCACATTTATTCCCTATTTAAATAACATTAGTTTAACAAGTACTTAGGATTGCTGCAACAGGGAGGGTAAAAAGGTGTTTTTTTGTAAAATGTTAATAGTAAGAAATTAATGCATTTTCCAAATTAGATCAAAATATGATCATAAACAAGCAAACTGCAACAGTTTACTTATTTTCCATAAGAATAACATGAGAATTTTGAATTTACAGTTTTTTGGAATTTTCTCCGTACACATTAGGCGCATGATAACGCTTCAATATACTAAATTATTTGTTTTTTAAGCTCTACAAAATGGTATGGAAAGAAAAAACTAAATTTTAAGTTTTTATGGTCAAAAAATGGGATTCCCCTATTAAACCCCTGTTCCCATAGTCCGATCATGCTGCTTCGCGAACTAGTTCGAATAAACATAGGTTTACACGTTTGTACTAAATTTAATCAAAATCGGATGATTTTTGCTTGAGTTATCGCGCTAACGGACACACGGATGGTGTTTTTGGTCTCTAGGGACCTCAAAACGTTTACAAGAAGACTGTGTCTGTGTACAAGAGGACTATCTGTGTCTGTGTACAAAAAGACTGTGTCTGTGTACAAGAAGACCATCTGTGTCTGTGTACAAGAAGACTATCTGTGTATGTGTACAAGAAGACTGTCTGTGTACAAGAAGACTATCTGTGTCTGTTTACAAGAAGACTATCTGTGTATGTGTACAAGAAGACTATCTGTGTATGTGTACAAGAAGACCATCTGTGTCTGTGTACAAGAAGACTATCTGTGTCTGTTTACAAGAAGACTGTGTCTGTGTACAAGAAGACCATCTGTGTCTGTGTACAAGAAGACTATCTGTGTCTCTGTACAAGAAGACTATCAGTGTCTGTGTACAAGAAGAGTCCACTAAAATAAGGCAACTTTAAATCAAGAGCAAGTAGTATTATATTCAAACTACTTAACAGTTTTTCTGCAAGTCTTTCTATTATTTAATGAGTAAATTTTTTTACTTTTACTACCAGATCCGGTATAAGGTCTCAAATAGAGCCGCTTACCACTTTTATTTTCCCTCCTGCAGGCACATTTAGGATTTTTTTCATTTTCCCAACAGGTTTTTTCTTACTTATTTGTTTTTTTAATTTTTGAAGTCTGACCTTTTCCCCCACCAAATTTTGCTTCATTTTTCATTATGTCACTAACTGCCCAGGCGGCAGCTCTCTCACCAATAACTAGAGTCTGAAACTTTTACCCTTTGCCAATTTAATAAGCTGTCAGCCACTGATCTAATTTTACTATCCTTCGATCTTGAGTATGCTATATCGTGGTTTTTGCATGCAGCATCCAATTTATTTATGCCCAGATCACCCCTTGCTTATCTCTTCCTTAAATTCGTTCCAGGTCCACAGTACTAATAGCCGGGTATGTGAAGTTTTACAGGTAAAATACCCTGTGTCTGTGTACAAGAAGATTATCTGTATCCATACAGGGTGAATAAAAAGTCAAGACTCCCCCCATTTAATATTTTTCTAAGTTAGAACACAGTTAGGACACAGATAGTGTGTTTGTGTGAGTCAGTGGCCCAAGGCAGCGATGTCGTGGGTTCGGATCCTGGTCACTGCCGAAAACATTTTATCAGTACAGTTCACCATTGTACTGTACCGGCTCACCCCTTGCTTTGCTGGATACGTTCCACGCATGGGAAGTTAGTGTATACGAACGGGCAAATGCAAGGTTAAAAGAGGCCGCAAACCTCTTAAAAAAATATATATATATATAGTCTTCTTGTACACAGACACAGGGTATTTTACCTGTAGAACTTCACATACCCGCCTATCAGTACTGTGGACCTGGAATGAATTTAAGGAAAAGATTAGCAAGAGGTGATCCAGGCATAAATAAATTGCATGCTGCACGCAAAGACCACGATATAGCATACTCAAGATCAAACTATAGTAAAATATACACAGATACTCTTTTGGTGATCGTGCAAACTTAGCACAAAGTTTCATTTTATGATTTTGAAAATGTTTAGCGTCTCCCAAAAATGAGGGATTTTGGGCTCAACTGGAGATTAAACAGTATGATTTAAATTGACATTCTGTTAATATTACGTTTTTTTAACCCAACCTTATGATAGTGTGTATCTAGATCCGGATCCAAATTTTTCAAGATCCGTATCCGGAACCAACATTTTCTTGGATCCGCCCATAACTAGAAAAAATAATGAAGTTTTTCTTTTAATTTGAAGGTTATTGTTGGGTTGAGGGAATGGTTAACATGTAAAAACCACATTGACTAAATAATACACGATTCAAGATTAAATGGAAAACTTCTGCTTTGTTTTGATTTCAAAAGATATGTTAAAGATTTATTCTACACTTTTTTGTTTTCATAAATTTACTAACATTTTAAATTTGAGATTTATCATAGTGTTTAATCAATATTTTGTATGAAGTGGAATAACCTCAACTGCCACTATTAGAAAACAACCTAGGAATAAAGATTAAATAATAGGTCTGTAAAGGCAATATATTTGTTCATTAAGTAAATACTATGACAAGTTTCAGTGGGCGGAAAAACAATTTTATTTGGAGGAGATCTTAACCAGGTGCCTGTTGCTCCAAGCAAAAAAGGTTCAAATAATATAGCCTAGCATTCACGGTAAAGGGATCATCCAATATAACAGTAAAACCTTGGTAGTTTCCGTTTCTTAAAACTAACCAAAAATATGTCGAAGATGCTGATGAAAAGTAATTTCGTAATTGGTTTAAATAAACTGGGTAATGGAGCCCTAACCATTTGCCAAATAGTTAGGGAATCAGCCGTTGAGTAGGCCCTTTTTTGATAGAATATGTAAAGTCAATTGCACCTTTAGTAGGAATACCACCACACAATCTTACACTACTATCTTACAATAGTTTTTTCATGTTGATCAGATCAGAGATACTTCTTATGTTGAAGAAATCTAGCGTTAAGTTTGGCCAATACGATGCTTTTGCTTTACACTAATTTTAGTAAACCTTTACAAAAGCAGCATAAACATAGAAAAATAACTGGGTCGAGGTAATAATTTAGTGGATTTGACCAAGAACTAAGCTTATCTCAACACACCTTTATTTGACTTTCCATATTTGACGAATTTCCAATATTTTAATCAGGGAAGCCTTTTTATCATCATTAACCAAAAGACCAAAGCTACCTTAGTAAACCAATATTTATTCACAAACATGTTTGCTGCCTTTAGAAGATTTAAACCTCTGGAGAAATTTAAATTATTTATTGAAAAAAAAACATCAACAAAAGCAAACAAAGACAACCAACAAAGAGTTTTATACACAAAAAAGACATGTTATGCGCTGGGATATCTATACTGACACATAGATAATTTTATTCTGAGTTTGTTTAAATATTACAATAATTTGTTTTACATTTGAGCTTTTTAGGGACTTATGTCCCAACAAGCCACTAGTCTTAACATAAAGTCCCTATAGAACAACTCTTTCTAAAACTAAAGAAACCTTCCATGTATAATACAGAATTGAATTTAATCTTGAGTGCAGCTGTTTCTTTTATCGAATCAGTCATTGATTCAGTAGACAAAGGACATTATACAATTGGCATATTTTAGGACCTTTCTAAAGCATTTGATAGTGTAAAACATAGTAAATTACTAGAAAAACTTAAAATAATTGGAATATCAAAAAAAGCTCTTAACTGGTTTTCTTCCTATTTGACAAATAAATCTCAATTTGTGAAAATTACCCATTTGACAAATCATAATAGAATTATCAAATCATCATCAACTTATCAACCAATTAAATTTGGGGTCCCACAAGGTTCAATTTTGGGGCCTTTGCTTTTTTTGTGTTACTTTAAGGGCATGGAAGATAATTTAACCTACAAGCAAAATTCTATATTATGTCTTTACGCTGATGATTCTAATTTGATTGTATCATCTAACGCTCCAGAAGAAACTGAAATTTGTACATATGTAGAATTAGAGAATATTGGAAACTATTTCTACAATCATAACTTATTATTAAATTCACAAAAAACAAAACTTATAAATTTCAGAACAGCTCAGAACAAAATTACAAAAGAGCCAACAATAACTTACAACTCAAATAACATTCAAAAGGAAAATCTGATCAACTTTCTGGATTTAACAAGAGATGAAAATTGAAAATTTGAATTGGGATAAACACACACAGAAAGTTTAGACCAAAACTAACTCCGGAATTTATGCATTGTCAAATATGTCCTTTTATTGTAATTTTAAAAACCCTAAAAAATATATATTTTGCTAACATCTACTCTCATCTTTCATTCGGTTTAGCATTATATGGGTCAACAAAAAAATTTTATATGGATAGCATTCTGAAGAGGCAAAAAGAGGCTATCAGAATTATGCTTAAGCTTAAACGAGAAGATTCGGCAAATCTGAGGAAGTAATAAATTAAGTACATTCTTATAATTTCAGGAGAAGAGAGTTTGTCCAGCCTCACAAATTAAAATTTTTTGAAAAAAAACCCTCATAGGCTGGTAACGAGTTTCTAAAATTTGTCCCTGAACTGATAAAAAAATAAACAAACCTATCTAAATTCAAGAAAATTCTAAAAGATTATTTAATAAATTTAGCATTGTATTCTTTTGAGGGAGTTTTCCACCTCCCATACATAGATATAGTATTTTTATTTTAAGTATTCTGACACTATTCACTGTACCACCAATGTACATGATTTACGATGAATAAAGATGTTTGAATATGAATATGAATATTTCCACTCATGCTGAGGTAGTTTCATAAAAATCTGGAATTTCTCAGAGTATCCTGGAAATGCTGGCAGTCCTTGAATTTGGTTCTGAGTTTTGAAATTTTACGAACAAAAATTAATTGGATTAGATCAATGTTGCACTGTACTCACCATCAAGTTGTGGTGGACAAACGTTAGGGTTCACTTCGCTCCAAATCTGTATCACTTCTAAAGTCGATTTACCTGAGGAACATATTTTGGATTGAATTATATTCTTTATTAGTAATGAAAGAATAAAACACATCCATTAACTTGTGACATTAAATATTACGTAAGCAAAATACCCTCTTGTCAATAACTACCTTGATATTTGATGATTTCAGAACATTTTCCCTGACCTTTCCTGGTCATAGATGAAATTTCTCTGACACTACACCAGTTTCATTGACCCTAAAATCTAAGAGTTTCCCTAAACTTCAAATGTCCCTATCTTTCCCTCACCTTACACCAATTTCCCTAGCTTTCCTATTTTGTGAAAATACATTAGTAGCATATGAAAGCAAATTATATTGTATTGTGTAAAAGTTGAATACTCCACTATAGGGATGGAAAAGTCTCAAAATTTCGGGAAATTTAAAATCTCGTTCTACGAGACAATTCTTTTTTTGGTCGAGATTTTTTTGAGACAATAAAAGAAATTAAAAATGCCTGCAGAAAGTCGATTCAATACCCTCAATACAGGAGCGTGTTGTATTTGCGTTTCCTTTGCAATGGCGTTATAATTTAATTAATTCTTTACCTACATGTAATGTAAATATTACATTAATTGTTTTACCCTTTGAGAAGTTTTGAAGTGTAAGCAGTGTGAGGCATGTTTTACTACTATAAACATAGCCAAAACAAGCAAGTATTTTATACAAATTGATATTGTTTTTATTTTATTTTAGGATAAGTTTAACTCTATCCTAACTTAAATCACCATGTTTCCTAAGGGTAAGCGTTATTTTAAAACGTTTTTATTAGCTCGCTTTCTTGTCCGGTACAAATTTTGCAATCAATTTTATACTAACTTCCCGATGAGCTAGAGACTTGAAACTTGAAACATAGCTCACAAATGGAAGACAATGCAACATTATATCATTTAATTTTCATATTTCCCTTGGGCTACGCCCCATGGGCTTGTTTTTATTAACTCGCTTTCTTGCAAATTTTGATACTTCCCGATGAGCTAGAGATTTGAAATTTGAAACATAGCTCACAAATGGGTGACAATGCAATACTATATCATTTAATTTTCATATTTCCCTTGGGCTACGCCCCATGAGCTTCTTTTTATTAGCTCGCTTTCCTACAAATTTTGATATCAATTTTAAACGAAGTTCCTGATGAGCAAGAGACTTGAAATTTGGAACATAGCTCACAAATGGATGACAATGCAATATTATATCATTTGATTTTCATATTTCCCTTGGACTACGCCCCATGGGCTTCCAAATTTTTCATGTTTACATTTTGAAAGAATGTAAATATATCAATTAATTTAAGTCAGCTGTAAATACTTAAATTTGACAGTTTGAAGAGCAGAGGTTAAGAGGAACAGGTTATGCTCCCAAGAGATTCTTTATACAAACAAACATTTCAAAATAAAGATAATCTGATTGCAGATAAAAAGGTGTTTGCTAATAATGTCAATTGTTATTTATTTAGTATTCTATAAAGTAAACAATAAATTAAATAGATTGATATATTTATAGTTAGTAGGTAGGCCATACATTAAATCTAATACATAATTATATATGAAAAGAAACTCAAATTAACCTTAGATTTCCCACATGCCTCTGACTTAATCTGATATAGATGCTTGAAATAGATCCACACACATTAAAAACTAAAAAGTAGAAAATAATTTATAAATAAAAAACCTTTTTAAAACAAAACGTTTTTAAACACACTAAAAAGTTGAAAATAATTTTATCTCAAAATTTTATGAGAAATAAAAGTCTCGTCTCGAACTAAAAATTCAATCTTGTACAACCCTACTTTGCAATCAATACTACACTGTGCTCACCTATGCAGCGGTTTTTTGCGTCTTTTATTTTGTCTATTTCTGCCTGTTTCCATTCCTTGTTGGATAGCCCTAGGGGGGGAACTGACGCTCTCATTGACACCAATTTACCCATCTCTTCAGGTGTTTTCCCTGTGGAATATATTCATAATTAGAAGATAATCGTCATCTCCATGTTTCATCTTAGTTCTTCCTTGACAAACTTTGAAGAAAGTCATCCCTATGGAAGAATGTCTATATCGATGAATTTTTACCATAGAGGGGAATACCTAAGGAATTTTCTATCAAAAAAAGAAATTAATAAACTATAGAGAAATTAATCTCCATAATATGTGTCTCAGTAAATATAGGTTTATAAGAGATTAGCCTAAACACTGCACATACTTAGAAAATACACTAAAAGAAAAACTTTTCCATCAGAGAATCGAGTCTTGTTGTTGGACAATCCCTGATATTCTGTGAAGAAGATGTTTACCAAATAACTTGGTAAATTATTTGATTTGTCTGCGATGAAAACCCTAATCTTCATTGAATATGACAAAGGTTGTAATTGAAGACAGATTGCTTCAGCATCTATCAAAGCTTCCCTTGAGCATCAAAACAGTTCAGAAAATATGTGAGCTGTAGTAAGAATATTAAATCAGATACTAATATATCTTTGAACTTAAATCTAATAAAGTTTATTCTATTTCCAAACATAACTCCTGATTAACACTAAACTTGGTGTACCTTCAAACTCTTTTGCCTTTGAAGAATAAGGTGCGCAGAGCCTTAGAAAGTTATCTACGAAGATTCGCGTCACATTGAATGCTCGGATGACCTTTTCATCGGCTCCAGACACAAAAGAGAAGTGTGGTAAAATTGCAATGCAGGATATATCATACCCATGGATCTGCGGGCGAGCCATCTCGTGCCACGAATAATCCTAAAGAAGAGATTTGTAATATCAGCTTTTTGTCAATGGAGTGTTAGTTTGATAATGCTAGCAGTACAGTCATAGCGAGGATGAGAATACTTGATCTTTGATACGAGACGCAAAGGCCAAGTGAACCCACCCAAAAGCACAGCATGAGACAAACCTGAAAAAAGTTAGTAGCTTTTTGATGGGTTGAAACTGGACCCAGCTGTCCATTGGGCTATAATGGTCCTGGCTAATGAAACAGCTGATCTTAGTCGGTAACAAAGCTACAAAGGCCATCTCATTTTATTCTACACTCATCATTCACTCATTTGGGTTAAAATATGCACCCAGGTGTCGTCTCCGTCTTAATTGGTTGGTAAACTTGTAAACTGTAGTCTACACTGGGACTCAAATCGGTTTAGATGATCTTATACACATGTCAAGAAATAATTTACAATTATTTGGTTTTCAGCTATGTAAAAATCTTAAAATTTTTCTTAAAAGTAATACAGAGGTACATCTAAATATTAGTTTATACTTGGCTTTTTTGTTTTTGTGGATTGTGTTCCACCACATCACCAGGTGCTCATGACTTATTCTTTTTTTATGCTAGTTCGATACAAATATTCAGTTTTTTTTTTTTTAATAAACGGTACCAATTATCAGACAAACTAGGCATGTAAGCCCATCTTAATACAGGCCCTCGTTAAAAATACTGAAAGAGTCTACTTTGTTACCTTGCTATACTATCTTGTTGAACCTTGTTGTATATAATCCATGCAAAACATCTCGACAAAGTATTTTGGCAAGTGTACTGTTTCATCAAACATTCTATAGTAAAGTAAACCAGAGCTTTCAATAAAGTGTTTCACTGATCTGATAGAATCTGAGGGAAGTCTGTGACTACCTCAAAGCAGTGTCAAGGCACCTCAACACCATGAACAATACACATTAACACCATCAACTACATTTATATTAGGCAGATCATAAAATACATCAGGCTATACAATAGTATTTTTTTAGACAGACATCTAAATAGACAACACACATTTCCTATGTTTCAAAACTAAAGTTTCAAGGAATTCTTTTAAATGGTTTTGAGAAGTACCTGTTTCAAAACCGTCTCAAGGGTAGCAGTTTTACGATTGGAGAACCCACGGACCCAAGGAGCGTACAGCCTCGCCGTCTGGTCGCTGGAGACTGTCATGATGTAACGTCCAAACTTTGGCTCCCAGGCGAGGTCGTTGACTTGATCGAAATGTCCCCCCACAGTGACCCCGGGACTCCAAATTCTCTGAGAGACAATGAAATCTACTTTAGTACTTCTCATTGAAATGGCCACCATACATAGTAGGTATTTTAAGCCAAGTATGAATAGTGGCGCGATCCTGTAGTCTTGTTAGTGACTAAGGCCGACATATTCCCTAGACACAGCAGTTAATTTAAAGCCCATACAGCTAATGGCAAATAAGGGACCTACAGTTTATAGTAGAATTCGAACCACATTTTTGTCTTGGTATATACCAATTGGTCTTGTTATCAGGATAGTACTGTGGATAGTCGTAGTACTCATTAGTGCGGACGTTAATCCACACCAGGGAGTATCGTATCCACAGTGCATGCCTATAAATAACCACAATTCGTGACCTCCTAGTAGCTGGATTACAGGACGACGTCACCGTCCCAGTCATTTACTAAATAATAATACTAGATACAAAATAAATAAAATAAAATAAAATAGACTAGAAACAATAAGGGTGTTCCAATGTTTTACAATTAGTCTCAAAATGTTCAAAATTAGTATTTTTAAAAAGTAGCTTCACTTACAGCCACTCTGCGCCAGCGGGTCTTGTTCCCAAAGATACTGGGTATCACTATGAAGGTGCTGTACTCGTCCAGGTTGGGGCCCCTAGTCTGCTCTAGCAACAATTCTTCGCTTTCATCTTCACTCACACAGAAAGTTCTTTTGTCTTCTTCTTTTTCTTCTATAGAAACCAGGACCTGTAATGTTTCATTTCACTTCATACTAAAAATTGTCCTAGGAATTAATTCCTTGTTAATTTTATAATTTAATAATGTATTGCCCTAAAGTGTTAGGAATGTTTCATTACCCCTCATAAAATCATCAATATTTAATATGGTTTTGTTCAAGGAAAGGCTCTAGGCCAGGATTTTGAATTGTAGAAAAAGATAGCAACTAGCTAACCTTGAAAGTGTAGGTAGGCCATAGAACAAGTAGAAAATACACTGTGCACACAATATTTCGTCCTCTGAAGGACTTTGTCTTCATAGATGGGTAAAGATGGGCAAAGTTTAAGAAACCTTCTTAAAGAGTGAAACGCTTCAACCTCTATGCTAGTTCTGCTAATTTGATGAATATTTTTGATCTGGACACATGGTCTTGAAAACCTGGAACTCTTCTTAAACAACATAAATAACTGCAGCCCCCTTAAATTTTCGTGGGAAACTTCTGATACCACCATCAACTTTCTAGAGATGTATCCGTCAAAACGGTCAACGGGATCATAACAACAACAGTTCACAAAAAAGCCACTAACCACCAACACAGTACCTCCACTTTGAGAGCTGCCACCCGAACAACGCTAAACGTTCACTCCCCTGCAGCCTAGCCCTAAGGGGCCTCCGGATCAATAGTAAGGAAAAGGATGTCCATTGCCCATACCTATAACCAAAAGCTTGAGACTGCCATTGAGAATAGAGGATATCCACCTGCACTTCAAATCCCAAATTAATGGAGCCACCAACGATTTCAAAAACTAGAAACATAAACCACAAAAGAACGTTGATTCAGTTAACCTAATTACAACCTACGAACCTGGCCTATCATCAAAAATAAACAATCTCCTAAGCTCTGGCTAAAAAAATTTACTAAACTCCAGCCAAATAAAAGTATAAAGAAAAAAAGAAAATCTCTGACTTATATATTTAAATAAATATTTAAATATACAGGGTGAATCTTCTAAGCTGTCCTAAACAGATTACAGTCGAACGGCTTGACATACAGAGATGAAACAAAACTTTTCCCCACTAATTCATACCCAAGGAACAACGTAAAAATGTTTTTACCATTTTTAAAATACAGGGTGTTCAAGAAACTGGGGGTCATGGGTTCGAATCTCAGAGTTTTCAAATGTAAACATATGTCATGTTATGCATCATTGTAAAGCTCTAGACTAGACAAATAATTTAGTGAAAACAGAACTAATTTATCTTTGTCCGTTTCAAAATGGCGGCCGTTTTTATAGAAAATATTGATATTTACAGAATACCCTGTATCTTGAAAACCACTAAACTTATTTTCGTTCTGTTTGAAAATTCTTAATCCTCGTAGGTTCAGCTTTAATTTGATATATGACAAGTCATCATTTTAAAAACTTAATATTTTTTCTATGATTTTAATTTTTTTTTTAAGTTGGTAGCCTTGTAAATGAAATTTTTTAAATGGTAACATATGTAAAAGTGTGTATAATTTTGAAGGTCTTGTAAAAACAAACAACTTTTAAATTTAAACCTACCGTCTATCTTTGGTCGTTTTATAGTAATTAACCAAAAACTCCAATTGCCCATATAAAACTCATGTTAAACGCGCAGTACCATGGGAATAGTGTATCTCCATCCACTAATCTTCAGTACGGTACGTTTAACATGGGTTTTATATGGGCAATTGGAGTTTTTGGTTAATTACTATAAAACGACCAAAGATAGACGGTAGGTTTAAATTTAAAAGTTGTTTGTTTTTACAAGACCTTCAAAATTATACACACTTTTACATATGTTGCCATTTAAAAATTTTCATTTACAGGCTACCAACTAAAAAAAAAAAATAAATCATAGAAAAAATATTTAGTTTTTTAAATGTTGACTAGTCGTATATCAAATTAAAGCTGAACCTACGAGGATTAAGAATTTTCAAACAGAACGAAAATAAGTTTAGTGGTTTTCAAGATACAGGGTATTCTGTAAATATCAATATTTTCTATAAAAACGGCCGCCATTTTGAAACGGACAAAGATAAATGAGTTCTGTTTTCACTAAATTGTTTGTCTAGTCTAGAGCTTTACAATGATGCATATTAAGACATATGTTTACATTTGAAAACTCTGAGATTCGAACCCATGACCCCCAGTTTCTTGAACACCCTGTATTTTAAAAATGGTAAAAACATTTTTACGTTGTTCCTTGGGTATGAATTAGTGGGGAAAAGTTTTGTTTCATCTCTGTATGTCAAGCCGTTCGACTGTAATCTGTTTAGGACAGCTTAGAAGACTCACCCTGTATATACTAGGCCTACTCTCCTTGCAATACTCTCAAATGATCCTCAACTGATTGGTTCTTTAAAAATCTTGGTTGCCCCTGGGTTGGAAGAACAAAGTGAATAAAAATAAACAACAGAGCGTTGGCAGTGGAAGCTGTTAAATAAAAATTGAGTGGGCCCTGTAGGATAATATTATTCCCAGAAGTCCTTAGGGGGTTCCTGGTACTGCTTTTAGTTCTTCCAATGCTGAAAACAACCTTAAAACTACACTGACTCTACTTTGCACATTACCACACTAGTGGCTTCTTACTGACTACAATTACTAAAAACTCTTTTGAATGAAATTGTACTCTCCAGAAATGAAATACCCAAGGTTATTGAGAATTCGACAGACAAACAACAATTAAATTTATTTAATAATAATTTTTGAGAATCAATACAAGTGCAACAATTTGATTTATTATTTAATATCTCTGTTAAATATAACACAAATCGTGTATAAGATAAGTGATGTAATTACTCAATGTCTGAGTATAACTGCCATCGATACTTTTGTAAGAAATGTGAACGCAACCCCTTGGTAGGAGAAGTGATTGACGTGGTTACAATTCAGCCGCGACTGCGACAGTGAGGTGTGAAATTAATCTGATCTTGAGATGATCCAACACTCACAAATCCTTCTCGTTGGCCAACGACTATGAAATTGAAATGCGTGTCTCAAAGTCCAACCTGTTACACAGTACAACTGTTCTTAACTCAATATTATGGCATGAAAAATTATTTATTATTTATGGCTAAAAGAGTGTTATGGCGGATTCGTCTATAATGCAACACACACACTCCTACTATCCACGATCGCAAACTAGCATTGAACCTGCAGTCCACCTCAACTTCCAATTATTAAACTTCCTAATTATTTCACCAATGGCTATTATACTCTCGCAAACTATTAATGTGAATAACGCTAAATTACAAAAATAATGTGTGGTTTTCGCGTTTTTCTAATTTGATGTTTGTTCTCATCAAATTCAGTACAAAAGATCTCTTCAAAGAACCTCCCCGTCTCGTGTACAGGCAACCTCCAAACCTGAAGAACGTACTCGTCCGACCCCAACTACCTAATCCTTCCACCAACTTACCAGAATCACTTCCCCAAGGCTGATATCAAAATGTTCAAAATTAGCATTTGAAACATTGCTTCTCTCACCTGTGCTCTGTGCCAGATGTGGAAGCCTCCAGTGTAGCTGTGTGCTAGTATGGTGTTGCCTCTGGGGCCGAACCTAGTGCCGTAGAAGCCCAGAGTGTTGCCCCCCACCTCTCCCATCCTATCCTGCTCTAGCCACACACCCCCACCTCCGTCCTCGGGCGCCCACACCACCACGGTCTTGTCCAGTGAGGCAGTCAGCAGTTGCAACGGTTGAGTCCACGACTTGCCTGAGTCTAACAGTATTAGGCCTTTGTTATGCATGTCATTACACTTTTACATTATACTTTTGAAAAAGCTCTTTTCCAGGGGCCAAAATATATTAAATTAATCGATTTGAGAACTAAAAGTCTTCTATAAAAATTTCATTTGTATTTTAAACATTTTTCAGTTTGAGTTTTGAGGGTAGAATTGTCACTTTAGGTCCAACTAAACCTTATAAAAATTCCTCGAAGTGGTGTGTTTGTGTCTGTAGGCTTACACAGACACACACATGTAAGGAATTTTAGGCTTATGTGTTAGTATGATTTGTACAGTACTACACCTGCAGTCTGATTTTAATGAATTTTTGGGAACTTTAATTTTTAACGGTGATTTTCCGATAAAAACATTAAAAACCCATTAAATAAAAGAAAAATCGGATATTCACAAAAACTCGTTGAAATTATTATTATTGTTAAAATTTAGTATGTTATGGTATTTTTAATTATCAACAAAACGGTCTAACCACCAATGCTGTAAAATTTGGGCTCAAAAGTTATTGCAATTGTCCCCAAAAAAATCGTCGTTACAACCACCACTTGCCCAAGATAAGTGTTGTTGACAGGCTAATGGGAGAACATATGTGTCAGATTGCTGATACTGTTTATTACCTGTTAAGACAGGTGGATGCCAACACAGGCCGTATACTCTCCCATCATGCCCCAGTAGTACAGACTCCAATCCTACATCCAGCCTCCTGTGTCCAACAGCGATCTGCTGTTGTTCAACAGTCAGCTCTTTCTTCGCCCCATCACCCGTCGTGTGGTGGAACCTCCACAGCCGAACTGTAGCGTCCAGACTGCCACTGGCGAGCAGCAGATCCCCACTGTCTGTACGACAAAGTTATATTGTGAAGGTCATGAAGGTAATAACTACAAATGGCTTAACACATTGCTTATCCTTCACCCTTAGGGGTGTAAGTAGAATAGGGATGAGCATTGATAGGTCAACCTTAGATTTACCGATAACATCGTCGTGTTATCAGGGGACAAACATTGACTACGATGTTTTTCAATTTGGGTTTTTCATCTGCTTTCTGCTTAAGCTAATTAACCTAGCTACTAGCTAGACATTCCATCCCCATGTTAAAGTTGTAACCAGGTTTTTAATAAAATTTGTCTTAGTTGATGTGAGCCACCTACAGATTGCGCTGATCTAAATTACTGATTTCTGCCGATTACAGCTCGTGACACCTAAGCTGGCACTTGGCCTAGCGCGGGCAGTGTAGACGGGAGGAGGGTGGAGGTAGGGAAAAGACCGGACTGCAAACATTTCCCCTGCTTCACGGGGTTGACTCCCCTTATTATGTACTTGAGCGCCTTCATATGGGTCGCGAGGACAGTTGATGCTACCCGCATGACGGGACATAATGTTTTTGAAATAGGTACTAGTAGCGATCGGCCAAGTGCCAGCTTAGATGTCACGAGCTGTACATGATGGTTTTTACCAAGTCAAACTACTGGAATGACTTACTATGAGCCATAGCAACTGTTGTGACCCAGGAACTATGTCAGTAACAAAAAATAAGGTACAAAATAGAGTTTTAGACACTAGTGCAATCTGTGACTGGCTCACACAACTACATTCTTTTTTAGTAAAAAATTGGCGACAGCTGATCCATATAGATGGGATGTCTTCTTCTGTATCCAATAGTCAATACTACTAGCTAGACGGTCTGGATATGGTAATTTCTCTTTCACATTTACAAGGCAAAATATTAGTCTTGATCGATTATGCTGGAGCACGAGTGCTACCGCTGAAATTAATTACAAATGGGTAGATTTTTGGCAGCATTTCCAACAACCAACTCAACAATGTAGACTGTAGAGGTATCTCATTCTGAGTCTCCCTCTACCTTTGTCTAAGTCTGGTCCGTGTGCGATATTTTTGGAGCCTTTCAATGGATTAAATACAAAAAAACAATTCCTCCTTGAGACCAACAAAACTTTAGTTACTTAGTTAACTTTAGTTATTTAGTTACGGAAATTGATAATCTCATTATTGTCAATATTCTTATCGAGTCAAAAACATCTATGTTTCACAAAACATCAGTAACATACCATCGAACATTGATAGAAAAAATTAATTTTGAAAACATTGGCTATTTTATAAACTCTGGGCTCATTTCTATAGTAGACCCTCTCTTTACCAACCTTTACTAACAATCACTTGGATTAAATCCCTTTGATTCCTAAAAATGGTTGAATATACCAATTTTATTCAGGAATGATAAACCAACTTCTATTTTACCTGGACAGAGATTGCTAATCCAACTAGCAATTGATACAAGGTCGGGTGTCCTTGATCGTTGCTTTTAATAAATGCTTCTGATTAATTAAACAGCTGATCTTAGTAAGCAACAAAGCTAAGCACATCTTCACTCCATTCTGATTCTTCACTCACCTTGCATTTATTAAAGTATTCAGCTAAAAACGCACCCAAGTATGCGTGGTCATAATTGATAATTAATAATTTATTGAGGCCATATGTGTGGGTTCTATTCTAAGAATGCTATCAATCTTAGACTAACATTTCAATGGCGTTAGTAAAACTGTTTAAACTTGGGGAACAAAAACTGCATTGTGAAAGTAACCAACAAACAGACTAGAGGTACCTAATTACTGATTTCTATGTGATATCAAACACGAAAAACCTCATCTGAGCCATAATTACTGTCAAACACCTTAGGCCAATAAAAATTTTATGAAACTAACATTTTTGTTAATTCTTCAACCAACCTTCACAAGTGAATTGCAACGCTGTAACCCAATCCTCGTGGCCACGTAGTGTTAGCTGCTTGACGATCCTGTCAACTTGTGGAGCAGTGGTGTCGTCGCTGGCACTCGGCTTAGTTACGGGTTCATCAGAACTAATTTGCTCAGCTCCTGAACAAATTCATGATTAAGTTACTAAGATAAGCATCTTGCATTACTTTTTAAATCATATTGACCGCATAGTTAAACAAACTTAACCCCTGAAAAACCTGGATAAACATTATACATCTGCTGTCAAGAATTACATGATAATTTTTTTAATTAATCTATACAAGCACAACTAAAATACCCCCGCCGCAGCAAACCTGCAGACTAAGCGAATTTCAACTTGTCTTATTACATTTTTGCTCAAATATTTCCATGAATAAGACATATTTTTATTCCCTATTTAAATAACATTAGATTTAATGAGTGCTTAGGTTTGCTGCTACGGGGAAGGTAAAAAGTGTTTTTTGACCATAAGTCAATAGTAAAGGATGAAATAAATAAATTTGCCAAATTGTATCAATATATATCCATAAACAAGTAAACTACAACAATTTTCATTTTCTCTATAAGAATAACATGGGAATTTTAAATTACACTATTTTTTAATTTTCTCCATGACCGTTTGGCATAAAACAGCGCTTTAATATACTAAATTATCTCTTTTTTTAAGCTCTACAAAACGGTTTTAAAAGAAATAGAAAAATGTTTTGTTTTAGGGTCAAAAATGGGAAAACCCCATTTTTACCCTATAAAAATAAACCCCCGTTCCCATAGTCCGATCATGCTGGTTCGCGAACTCGTTCGAATAAACGTATGTTTACACGTTTGTACCAAATTTCATCGAAATCGAATCATTTTTGCTCGAGTTATCGCGCTAATGGACACATAGATATACTGTATATATAATTTTGAACGATTAGTGTTTTTGGCCTCTGGGGACATCAAAATGAAAAAGTAAATCTCGGTCCCGCGCCCAGGTCTTACCATGAGGCCTACGGTAATAACTACCTCCCTATAGGGAAATTCTCTAAAACACACCCTAAGTTACAAAGAAAATTTTCAAGACCCAAAGATCATTGATTTCTAGCATTTATCTTGATTTTCAAATGCGATTTTCGGGGTGAAATAGACATTTCCCCAAAAGTGCCAATGGTAAAAAGTGCTTAAAATAGTCTAATTTAGGCAGATAAGGCATAAAATGCAATTTTAACATAAGTAGTATAAGTTCAGTATTACCAAAACGAACGATTGTTCAGTATTCTTTAGCCCAACAGAAACTTTAAATACAACTTGTTTCCCAAATATTGAGGTAGGCTAATTCTTTCAAATGAATTCTATGAATTGGAAACATTAAAAAATCCCTGTGTGTAGGGAAAACTAAGGAAAATTGCCCTTGCCAATAACCTTATAGCCTACCTACCTTATGAAATTTATAAACAAAACCTTTTAACACTAAAAAATCAAAAGAGGTTATTCCTTAAATACAAAATTGAGTACTTATCCTAAGTTTTTTACCTAATTTTCACTTATTAAGCAGAATTTAAAACTGTATTACTAGTAAATAATTTCACAACAAACATTAACTGGAAAAAAGAAAACAAGTTTTGTAACATATGTTCACAGTTTATCAGAAATCCAATCATATGGTAGCAAATAGTTTGTTTTCAAATTGCAATTAACAAAACAGTTTTTAAAACATAATATAACCTATATTTAATTTTATTATACACACAAAAATCCCCTGTTGACAATGTTACATGTACAGTACCAAAAAGAATGATGAAATTATGATTAGATATTAGGAGTTAAGGAAGGGTAAGAGTTATTTTTTTAACCAACCAATTTTATCAAATTTTGTTTTTAATAGTTTTTACAAAACAGAAAAAACAGGCCAATTTTAGTAAACTTTAGTAGTAGTTTTTTTGTGTATAAAATGCCTGCATTAAATTGCTGAATCTATTCAGACAACGTATAAATGGAGTAAAAAAATTTTTAGGATTTTATACACTTTGACTAGCCATTCTATCAGGGTTTAAGCTACGGTAGCATTTTAGTTTGCATTTTTGTTGCAAATATATTAAAGAATAATATTTTTGCTACAGTTGTCTGAAAGTTTGTAGCATTTTTGCTCAAACAAATTTCATCCCAGCCTATTACGCCTATTACAAGTGTGTCAAGCAAAGTATAGAATAAAGACTTAAGTTACAAAAAGATATTTACTTTTCAATATTGAAATATTTTGTGTAGGCCTATGGTAAAGTTAGGTTAGTTAAGTAGATTATTTTAGATTAGATTGGCTAATACCTTAATAATTTATAAATAAAAATTTTGTTTGAAACTAAACGTTTTCAAACGCACTAAAAAGTAGAAAATAATGTATAAATATGTGGAGAGTATAAATACGTGTAAGATTTAAAACGATAAACGTGGGGATGCGTTCAATAGATAATTAAAATTACCTTCACCTATTGAACTAATGTATTATTATCTATTGCATGCACCCCACGTTTTTTGTTTGAAATCTTACAAGTATTTATACTCTCCACATATTTATAAATTATTTTCTACTTTTTAGAGCGTTTAAAAATGTTTTGTTTTAAAAAATATTTTTATTTTTCTTTAAAAAAAATATTTTTATTTTTCTTTAAAAAAAATATTTTTATTTTTTAATTATTTTCAACTTTTTAGTTTTTAATGTGTGTGGATGTTAAATCTATTTCAAGCATCTATATCAGATTAAGACAGAGGCATGTGGGAAATCTAAGGTGTATTTGAGTTTCTTTTCATATATTTATGTATTAGATTGAATATATGGCCTACCTACAAAAAATATATCAATCTATTCAATTTGTTGTTTACTTTATAGAATACTACAGAAATAACCATTGACATTATTAAAAAACACCTTTATCTGTTTATCACCGTTATCTGTGTTTCAAATTTCAAGTCTCTAGCTCATCGGGAAGTATCAAAATTTGCAAAAAAGCGAGTTAACAAACACAAGCCCATGGGGCGTAACCCAAGGGAAAAATGAAAATTAAATTATATAATATTGCATTGTCTTCCATTTGTGAGCTATGTTTCAAGTTTCAAGTCTCCAGCTCATCGGGAAGTATCAAAATTTGCAAGAAAGCGAGTTAACAAAAACAAGCCCATGGGGCGTAGCCCAAGGGAAATATGAAAATTAAATTATATAATTTTGCATTTGTGAGCTGTGTTTCAAGTTTCAAGTCTCCAGCTCATCGGGAAGTTAGTATAAAATAGATTGCAAAATTTTTACCGGACAAGAAAGCGAGCTAATAAAAACGTTTTAAAAAGGAACTCTTTTGGAATAATGAAACATTTTTGTATTGTTAGGTTAAATTTTAGGTTATTTTATTTTAGATGAGATTAGTTGATGTCAAACGAGGGAACAAAAGTCTAAAAACGCCCCACACCAGCGTATTTTAGCCTATAGGCCTACACTTAACCTTTAATAGCAACGGCTTAAAGCAAATTTCATACTTCGCTTTGTTCATTTTAGACATTATATAGAAAGCATTTTGATAACATACTTTGTGAACATATACAATCAACTTTAGTATAAGATTATGAAACAAAGTCAACATTATTTCAATAAATATCTTAGTTAGATAGTTCCCGTTGTAGTGATGAAATCTGAAATATGCATTTCAGATATTAAAACCACCCACAATGCCAGTGTGTGAAAAGATCAAATCGATTGTGTGCACACCAACACATAAATGTTGTGAAATATTATGTACAAAATGTAAAACACTATCACATACATCATCTAAAAGTGTAAACATCAAGACCAACGGACAACAATCCAAAACAAAAATTTTATTCGAGAAGATTCAACCGAAGAAATTTTGTGGTACGAAGGAAAACAGGGAGGAAAACGTATCCTCGAGGAAGCCCACAAGGAGGGATTTAAGTCATGTTAGGCCAAAAGTGTCCAAAGAAGAATCGTCCGACAGCGATAGCAGTGGTGAAGAACCAGTTGAACCAAAATGGAAAACTAGAAAGCCTTCGTTTTTCCCTCAACATAAACCTTCAAAAAAGTCCGATCAAAATACACCTAATGAAGAAACTGCAAAAAGTAAACGGGCACCTAAAGGTTCAAAAGTATCCAATCAAAATACAACTGATTCCCCAGCAAAAAGTAAACGTACCCGTTCGACATTGTCCAATAAAAATCTTCGCGATAAAGACCCTGTAAAAGGTAAATGGGCAAACAAAAACAAAGAGGTTTACTCAGCTTTAACATCAAACCCTACATCTTCACAATACTGGGTACAGTCGAACCTACAATACATCATTGTGCTCCCGATGGTGAGTCAACGACGTAATTCACCGAAAATATCTCCACCCCCTCCGTCTCCGCCCGATGACGACTTGGACGACTCGGAAGAGGAAAAACCGAAATCTCAAGAATCAAGTGAATCTGAAGATTCTTCAATACTTCCAGCGATTGAAAAACCAAAATCTAAAGAATCAAGTGAATCTGAAGATTCTTCAAAACTTCCAGCGATTGAAAAACCGAAATCTCAAGAATCAAGTGAATCTGAAGATTCTTCAAAACTTCCAGCGATTGAAAAACCGAAATCTCAAGAATCAAGTGAATCTGCAGATTCTTCAAAAGATAAAAGTGATAAAAGTAGCGAAAGTAAATTGTCTTTCGAACCAAGATCAAACGCCCAACTCCCTATGCCCCAGAAGACGAAAGGATTTTGCTGCGTCAAAAAACAAAATAGTGGATGAACTTAGTGTTGATAATGTTTTCTATTGTATTACTTGGCTTATAAGAAGAGATTTTGTATTAAGAGACCCACTTATATACTGGTTGATTAAATTTGAGTAAAGTACACTTTTCTTTCATAGATTATTTTGGTTCAAAAAACACTAAACTTATGTCTTTAAGTGAATTAGATTGAGAAATTACAAAAAAACCACTATTTTTTTTAATATAGACTTTCCAACGCAAATAACTTTAAATCTTTCTAAAGATAATTTAAGTCTCAGTTTACAGCAAAGTACTTGGATAGGAGTTTGTAAAATCTGTACTTATATTCGTATGTTAGTTGGGAGATCTCAATATTTCTCAACTATCTACATCACAAAAAGTCTGCTAAGGACAAATTTACAATTTTGCTATTGTTTTGTGTTCAAATACCAACAATTCAATATTTAAAGCCCTCAAGAGATAGTTCTATATGCTTGGGACACAATGAAACTTGAATAAATGCAATGTGCCAATAAAACTAGATGCTTTTCATAATTAAGATATTAACTAAATAACAAAAATATTAATCTTTGTGTCCAATTGCCTGATGCATAAAACTCAAAAATTTGGCGCATACTTTGTACCAAAAACAACAAAGGACAAAAGAACCATACAGATAACAAGGGTTTCTGGATCTCGTTCAGAGTTTTTTGCATGCTTGGACTTAAATACTAACACGTGTAAATAATCTTTTTGTGATTTTATAATAATTATGATTTGTGCTGATGGAAGTTTTTGTTTCAGGGTTGATTAATAAAGGAAATTATTCAGTTAAGCGTACTTTACATAAAAAGTTATGACTAATTTACTGAGAAAACTATTTAGAAAAAAACACCCACACAAGGAACAAAACAACTTGAACCAGCCGATAAATCACATATCATTCAATAATCATGAAAGTCCGGAAAATTCGTTTTTAATTGATTTAGAAAACCCTCAGCATGTTTATTACAAAGAAAAACCTTATGAAAAGATCTCAATCTTCGACCAATCGAGAACCAATGAACACCTGAATATATCACAAAAAACACCATGGGAACCTATCGTGGAACAAAGTATTGCACCTCGAAAAACAAGCATGGCATTAACAAAACCCCAAGTGTTTACATGGAAAAATAAAGATGCGTACGTATACAGAATAGACTCTACGCACTCACCAGTTGAAAATCCTGATTTAGAATTTGTGATTTACATCCCAATCGATACTGCGGTAACATGGCTTAACTCTATGGATAAAACCCCAGAGTATATGTCGAAGCATTCCATCAACACAAAGCTTGAAGAAGAAGGTATGATTATGAAACCAGAAAAAATACACGGAGCAGAAGAGGATAATCACAGCCGCAGGTGCACGCTGCTCAGGTGGCAAAATAAGTCGAAGAGTAACTCAGACTCTTCAGACACAGACGATGAAGATGATGAAAAGGATGAAGACGATGAAGATGATGAAGATGATGAAGACAAGAAGGATGAGAAAGACAAAAAGGACGCAAAAGACAAAAAAGAGAAAGGGAAAGAATCCAAAAAAGACAATGTTCCAAAAGCAAGTAAACTTAAGGAGAAAAAAGTGAGAGGGCCGAAGAAGAAAGTAAAGAAGGCAAGGAGAGTGTATACAACGTATGAAGTCGATGAAGATGAAATCAGCTTAGGTCGGCTCAGGCCGCAAGAAACCCCAAGACAACCAGTGAAAATAGTGGGGAAAAACGATTTATCTGATGTATGATTTCAAACAAATGGCTGGCCCAGTTTCATCTCTAAAACTTGTTCTGCAATAACCAAGCAGATTTTGAGAAAGTCTACAGAAATATACTTATTTTCTAATTAATACTTTTATTTATTACAACTACAACTAAAATCCTGGACACATATTACATGTTAGAAAAGGACTCCAGGACACAAGAAAAAACTCATATTTGTCTGTTTGTAGGCCTACTTTGTTTACAGACTATGTAAGACAGTGGAACTTTAATAATTCTATCACTAAAAGAGCAGAAAAGCTATGTGATTTATTCAGGAATTAAAATAGGTAAGTCTAGTAATAAAAGGGTTACACTTTACGTCACATAACTGTGCATAAGTTGAATAAATTTAGAGGTATAGTTTAGTCTATCTCTGACATTTGTTTGGGCAAAGACATATTGGTTTCGTATTAACGACAACATCGTTGCTTGATTTGAAGAAACATATACTATATGTAAACTTAAAGAATAATTTGTAAACGGAAAAATCACAACAGAGCTTATACGTTGTGTCCATTGCAAATAATCATTTGATGTTTTTTATCATTCTTTTTTGTTTGATCTTTTCCCTATCGTAACGTTTTTGCAATTACGGGTGGGTACGCAAAATTGCCTACGTAGTATAGCACAGGCCTATCAAATCTCTATGGTTGTGCTGCTAGCCTAGTAGATAGTGACGAAAGTTGTTCTGAAAAGCTGGTGTACCAGAGAAACGCTTAATAAATAAAGACATTTTTATTTATTTATTTATAGCTTGACAGACTTCGGGGCAGGAGTACTGCTAGTTCTCCTGGTGCAGTTTGGAACCCATTAGAGTATTTTGCAGTTCTATCACAATGAATTTAGTTTTTGTTTTTTTCATTGATGAAGTCGGAATTAAAGTTAGAAAGTAGGGATTGACGAGATTGGATTTTTAGTTCAAGCCGAGACGAGACGGGATTTCCCTTCTCATACATAACGCAAAATGCACGTTCCACATTTTAACTTGATTTTTGTAACTTTTTTAAATATCTACTGATTTATGACGGACTGGTTGAATACAAAAAATAATTATAAACAAAATTATTTCAACATTTTTATTAATCAGTATAAAAAAGCAAATAAAAAAAGTATAATACCCCCGCCGCAGCAAACCTGCAGACTTAGCGAATTTCCATCTGCCTGATTAGATTTAAACTAAACTAGGCGGAAAAATTTCAGTCCGGCCGGCAGGCGAATCGTTGCGTGTATGGGGACCCTCCTTTCACAGAGTTTGGCCTTCTGGCCCTCGCCGGCCGGCAGATCGTTACGTGTATGGGGGGCCTTAAAACCGTGTACAATTCAGATCAGCTAGTTTACACAAATAAAGGCAAAGTATCTTGCAGTTTTAATGTGAAAAATCATCTTGTAAACAAATGTTGTGTAACCAAATATGTTTTTATTCCATCATAGGCCTATACGATATGCATTTTAAATCCGAAAATTTTACAATAAAACAGCAATTCTGCAATTTTTACGATGTGAAAAGCTTTGAAGTGAGATTTGCAGCCGATTCGCACAGACGCACACTGATTATAAGTACGGTAGGGGTACACTTCCATATCTGTTGGCACAAACAGCCGAATGAGTAATTTTGATTATTCGATTGTTTATTTCAATATATCGTTTGGTTAGGTTAACCTTACCTTACTAACCAAACGATATATCGATCAATATTTTCATTCGGTTGTTTGTGCCAACGGATATGGAAGTGTACCCATAAGTAGCCTACGGTAGAGAGAGTAATTTTGTCAATTGAGAAGTGAATAGACCTAGTCAACGACACCACCTTCCATAGCATACCTGCCTCTTCCATAATTATCACCAAAATACAACTACTATACACAATTTCCAGTAGGTCTGAATAGAAACGAACTAAAATAAAACGATAATTTCCAATAAAATTCACAGTACACATAATTTAACTTTGGTGTCCTAACATTAAAACTAATCGTCACTCCTATCCTTTATATCAATTTCACTGCATTAATTGCTAAATAAATAAGTGTAAACAAAGAAAAGTAAAAACAATAACAGTTTGTTTTGAAACAGCTGTTTGGTTCAAAAAACATTCATTTGAAAAAAAGAACTGGTCACATGTAGCAGGAATATAAAATGTAAACACGCTAGGAAAGCTAATGACGTAATTGTCAATGTTTATTATCCATACCGTTATCAGTTCTATCCTTGATATTAACCCACCCTCATTGAATAAACGAACATCGTAATTTCCCATATTAGTTCATTTAAACTACAATATATTCATAGTTGAAATAAAAGTGATATTTTCACGTTTGGGGGCGCTGATATAGGCGCCCCTAAACGTAACCACAACTGAACACGATTTCATAAAAGGATGGTTTGTCTAATTGCAATATCCTAGGTCAATGTTGACGTTGTGTTCAATTTATGTCATCCATCTGTTTATCTAAACCCGGCTGAGGTTGTGGTGGTAATTTAAAAACGTGATTCCTGATTATTCTTGATCTTCTTTTTATGACATCAATAGCCTATTTCCGGGCCTAATCCAAACAAAGTTAAATAACATTACATTAAATAACATTAAAGTTAAATAACAGACAAACATTAATTGTAAACAAAAAGCTACCATTAAGAATTAAGACATGTAAACATCGTTATTTTTCTAATCTTTCCTTGAAAAGTGGAGCAGTAAAAAAATTTGCATTTATCCTTTTTTATTAAGACTTGTGTACAGAGCCTCGATTTGTACTGTGGTTTAATTAATTTTGGTTAAAACTGTGGTTTAACTATCTCTACTAATCTTACTTATTTACTATGACAAAATAAGAGTAAATAAAATAACCTCATAGTTCCATAGTTTATATTTAACCAGCTGTTAGTTAAAACAAATTATATTACTCTAAAACAAATCGAAGATTACAAATATTGCTTTAAAAAAGAATTTGAACTTCCTAGTATTATACTATGTATATTTAATTATCTGTCATCCTCTTACAGAAGAATTGAACGTATCAATGATTAGTATTAGACATAGTATAAATAAGTCAACCCTAAGTATGTCTTTACATTTTTATCCAAATGCTGAATTTGTGACACAAAAGCTGAATGTTTACAGCTGTTATGTTAAGCAAATTATTTTATGCCAAAAGCTAGTTTAGAATCTTAGCGTCGGCTGCTAGACTTTTTAAAAATTAAAACTTAATTTCTAAAAAACTGGGACCCTAAACTAAAATTATGGCTTCGACATTCCCTAGTTCTAAAAATTATCTTTCTTTCAACACAAAAATCATGAAAATCCGTCGAGTGGTTGATTCAGAATCGTGAAATAAAAAAACACTGTTTCGTTTTAATATTATAGATTGTCTCCTTAAAAATATCACATTTATTCCCTATTTAAACAGAATTAGTTTAATGAGTACTTAGGTTTGCTGCAACAGGGAGGGTAAAAAAATTTTTTTTTAATGTAAAATATTAAAAGGTACTATGGTTTAGTAAGAAATTAATGTATTTTCCAAATTTGATCAAAATATGTTCATAAACAAGCAAACTACAACAGTTGACTTATTCTCCATAAGAATAACATGGGAATTTTAAAATTACAATTTTTTTGAATTTTCTCCGTAACAATTAGGCGCATAATAACGCTTCAATATACTAAATTATTTGTTTTTTTAAGCTCTACAAAATGGTTTAAAAAGAAATTGTGAAATTTTGTGTTTTTAGAGTCAAAAATGGGAAAAACCTATTTTTACCCCATAAAACCCCCCATAAACCCCCGTTCCCATAGTCCGATCATGCTGGTTCGCGAACTCATTCAAGTTTATCCTGCCTTACACCTTCAAACCAAATTTTATCAAAATCGGACAAAAATTACTCAAGTTATCGTGCGGATGGACACATATATATATATATATATAAATTTGAACGAATGGTGTTTTTGGCCTCTGGGGACATCAAAATGAAAAAGTAAATCGGTCCCGGGCTTAGGTCTTACCATGAGACCTACGGTAATAGCTACTTCTCTATAGGGAAATTCGCTAAAAGGCTAATACTGTTCCTAACATGTGCTGCAATCTAGGAATCAAATAAACAAAGTTTGTCCTTTTTATGTTCACCAGTATAGGCTAAGTCAAATCATTTTAGTGGATTTGTTTTTACCTTCATACATAAAATAATGATATTAACTGTTTTATGTTTTATGCTATCAAAAGCGTTGGACCAATCCATAAAGCTGGCAAATATTGAGGTTTCATTCCTAGATTGGTAAGATTTTATTCCAGTGAAATAGGTGTAGTAATTCATTTTCTAGTTACCTGTCAAGTTTAAGGCGGGGTTCGAAGGCTGGCTGAATGTATATACATGTATATTGGAGTCGTCCAGGCCAGCGGCTAAGATGATAAAACCACCTGGTGAAACAGTTAAAGAGGCGGCCATGCACAGCCCTGACGTCAACAACAGAACCTTCTTACACTCCACAGCTGTTGACCAAAACAAAAGTCCCAGTTAATTTACGAAACTAAGGTAGAAATCCAATTCCTCCAAAACCTTTAGTGGAATTGAGGAATCTATTCTTTATACTTTGTATTTGTTACCCAATCCAGAATAGTAGTTAATGTGTACGTTTTAGACAGTATTTAAACATGATTCAACCTTCATGTTATTGGTAACCCAATGATCTGCACACAGCGACATCTTTAATTGCGCTGACCTCGCTGGCATTTTCTGCAATCATGATAATATTGTGAAATTCCCATCCGAAAATTATTTAAAGCCCCTAGAAAAAATTGAAATAAGTTTTCAATTTTGGGATTGATAATCCCTAGTTTGGTGTTTAGTTAAATTTGGAATTGATAGATAAATATAATATGTAGTATATTTTAAAAAAAATTGATAATCCAAATTTAAAATTATTTTGTGAATATTTTTTATAAATTAATCTTCCTAGTTAATTTTCAACCGCTTTGCTTTCATTCATTGTGGCATCCTGATCTCTGGAATCAAAATGACATCAAGAATATTTTACCAGAATTATATTTTAGTATCGGAATCAAACATCATCAGAATCAACCTACATTTCTAAATGTGACTTTTACAACAAGTGACAGTTGAAAATGCTAACAGGATTACTAAAAGGTTACAAACCATCCCCTTGATTACGCTCCCAGATCCTAATGGTAGAGTCTACCGCTGCGGTCACAATGACGAGGCTCTCTACGATCTTACGTCTTCCAGCTGAGAGACGGCAATATACTGCATCGACCACATTCACTGGACCTTGGTGACCTGCAGACAAATAGCAACTCACTCTCAAAGTATCATTATTTCAAATACTACATCAAACAAAAATGTGCAAGTAGCTTTTCACATGTTTTATGTATGTGTAACCTACAAATGTGTCAATTCATTTATGTTGTTTAGCTGTGCCCATAATTCATCTCTCTAATGGTTATAGGCCTAAATAAAAGAGATGAAAAGAAAAAGAATAGTAGGCCTATTTGAAAATAAAGTGTGAAAAATCAATGGACATATATGTGAACAAGGGGATTGGAGAAGAAAATACAATGGATAAGGGATCTTAAAAACATCGCAGATGTAACTTGATTGGAGAAATTAAGTGTCGAAGAATCAGATGACCAGGACATCTACTGCGAAGAGTGAGGAATGTCTTCTGAAAAAAGTATTGAGGGCAACCCTGATGGGAGGCGACCTCCAAGAACACCCAAGCAGAGGTGGTGGAAAAAAGTGATAGTGGATATGGAGAAATTTGGAGCAGTGGATATTAGAGGACCGGATAACGTGGCGAAGATTTATTGGTGCAGCTAAATACTCCGATATAAACGACCCTGGGATTAAGAGTTAATTTGTAAATAAATGCTAGCCTACAATAACTAGGCCTAAAGCCTAATTTCTTACACAGCCAATATTATAAGACGTCCAAAATTATGATTAAATTGCAATAGGCCTAAACCATTATTTCTCCATAGCACGAAACCAATTAAAAAATTACAAGCATCAGCATTAAAAAATCCTTAATCTATTCCGTAAAGTTCTACCACGGACCTTTTTTACTCCCAACACGTGTTGGGAAAAATACAGAACAATTACAGGATGAAAGATGATATATTAATCATGCTACTGCATACAAAGTTGACTAAATTTATTTAAAACAGCACCTACAAATGTAAATAAAACACAAACATAAGTACGGTACCGTATCAGTAATAACAAAGCCCAGAAGTTCTAGGACATGCCAGTCGACACCATAAATCTAGGTTGCCTATATACCGTACTCTAGAATAATAGGCCTAAATATAACACAAATTCTGCCACTAAATATATTTTAACGTAGGTATCATTTTATTACCTTTGAGTACACTTGTCACAACGAACCTATCTTTCTCCTTGGTCCAAACTAAGCCGCACTGGTCAGTAGAAACTGACAAAAATTCATCTTCTGGTGAATTGTCAATCTTTTTAACCCACTTTACAGCGTTTACTCGGTCCTGATGACCAGTGTATGTCGCCAAAACCTTTCCACCATGATCCTGAAAATAAGCATAGCATGACTAAAGTTTAGTGTATCATAGATTGGTTACATTTTAATCTACATTTTAATTTAACTTTAACAGTTTGAAATCCAGGGATAACTCATTTTTGTTTTTAACTTATTTTCTCATATTTTGATCACAAAAATAAAAATTCTTTTAAAACGAGTGGTCAGTGTGTACACTCACGGTAAGGATAGCTTAAGTTAAAGTTGCATATCGTGTGATACAATTCAGAACAGTACAAGCTACGGGATAACAAGCAACAATAAATACAAGTTGACAAACTGGAACAAATTCACAATAACGATCTACTAATTCAAGAAAATTATTAGATACTAGCAAACTAAGTGAACTAAGTGAGTGTTAGTTAAGTGGAAACTAAGGAATAAAAAGCTTTGTTAATGTTATAGTGGTACTTTGGTATTATCCGGAGGCCACCTATTTTAGAGGGATTTTTTACCAGAGACCAAAAATAACTACATAATTGAAAAGAACACACTTTAATTGACTTACTGTCCAAATTTTACACGATTACGATAAGCGGCCTTTGAGTTCTGCTTCCCAGAAGGCAGCGATGTCGACGAGGATTGCGTTGAATGCGTTGCCGCCGCTAGCTGCCACAGGTACTCCGCCAAGTAGGTATAGGCTACAGAGCGCTGAGGCGGTAATGTTAGGTTGGGTTATCATAAATATGTTTGTAGGACTTTCCTCATTTCGTTATGAATCGAACGATACAAGATGAGTCATCACTCAGGACACTGACCCAGATACAAGGCGGTGACAGGTGATGCACACGCTCCGGTTAACTTGGAGGGGATTTGGCGGGCGAAAGTATAACTTAGGGCTATCTGGTATCGTTCGATTCATAACGAAACGAGGAAAGTCAACAACATATTTATGATAACTCGGATAATACCAAAGTAGGCCTACCGTTATAGTTATTGTTTTTATTTATATTATATTATATGATAAAATTAAAATCATTGCGATATTAATTATTGAACCAGATAAATATCGATATTTACCTGAGTTATATCGTCATTCATCCGATAACTAAATATATCCAAGTGTACCCATCAGCAGAACTTAACTTAGATGTAGGCTACAAATCCACCTGTTTAAATGTAAATCTATTGTTATCAATTTTTCCGAATAAAAATCAACCTACCGTAAGTTTTTTAGGTTAGGACAAAAGTTACATTTCGTTATCTTCGTCTAAGAAGGCTATTTACAATTGGATTTAATGCCTTACAAAATGGTAGCAGGCCTAGGCCAATGTAATTTATTATTCCAAATAATTGTTTGGTTGGGTAGAGAGACGTTGTTTTTAAGAATTTAACCCTTAATTAAAGCTTCTAGGCCTAACTTAAATGGTTCTCGAAAGTGGGGAAGTCAATACATTAGGCCATCTACAGTTTCTATTGACTGTATTGAAGAATTGTTTATTGAATTTAGCAACAATTTAAAAGAAACTATTTTCCTGAATTGTCCTTTATGACCGGTGCAACGGACATCCTTCCCTCCATGGTTTACTAGGGAGTTAAGATGTCTTGTATCCAAAAAGAAACAAGTACATGCGAGATTCAAGAAGTTTCATAATCTTGCTGATCTGGATAGATTCAGAGAAATTCGGAGCCAGTGCAAAAGGCTAGCAAGAGTGTGTCACTCCAACTACATCAATAGAATCGGCGAGAGTCTAGACAGCGATCCCAACGTCTTTTGGAGCTATATTCGCAGTCTACGAAAATCACCTTCAACACAGGAAATTCTTCATCTAGAAGACAGAGTCGCAACTAATCCACTTGATATGTGTGAAATGTTTGCTGAGTTTTTTTCTTCGATATACAGACCACCAGTGAATGAAGCCCCGGACTATTCATACAATATGGACATCAACTTGGCAAGCATAACTGTTTCAGCATCTGAAATCGAGAAAAAACTGAAGGATCTTGATCCAAAAAAGGGGGCCGGACCAGATGGGATACCAGCCAGTCTGCTCAAATTTTGTGCTGAACCCTTAGCTCCGATAATAACTCTTTATTTCAACAAATTGTTGCGAGCGGGAATATTTCCTCGAAATATGAAAGAGGGGTTCATTGTACCGATTCATAAGAAAGGTGATTTGTCTGACGCCAGAAACTACAGGCCGATCGTTATTCAGCCAGCTCTAGCAAAGGTTTTTGAGAGCTTGGTCCTCGATAGAATGTCCTTTGCATTTAAGAACACCATAATCACTGAACAGCATGGCTTCAGGTCAGGAAGATCGACAACTACGAACCTAACCGTATTCACTGGCCGTATCCTATCCGCATTTTCCAATGGAAATCAACTGGATTGTATCTACCTGGATTTCATCAAGGCATTTGATATAATTAGCCACCCCCACCTGCTGAACAAGTTAAAGGATTTTGGAATCAATGGATCGGTTTTGGAATGGTTCAGGAGCTACTTGACACATCGCACTCTCCGAGTTAAATATGCTCTAGCCCTCTCAGGACCTATACATGCAACTTCAGGTGTTCCCCAAGGCTCTCATCTTGGACCATTTTTGTTTAGTCTCTTTATAAATGATATAGCTGAGTTCATCAAAGGGCATTTTCTTCTGTTTGCCGATGATGTCAAGCTGTATAGAGAAGTTGGATCGGTGGAACAACAAGTTGAGCTGCAGAATGACATGGATGGAGTGATTGAATGGTGTCTTCGTAATGGGATGGACTTGAACCCGGCCAAGTGTCTAGTTATGTCATTCTCTAGAGCTAGACAGACCCTTCAATTTAATTACTGTCTACAAGGATTAATTATCAGGAGAGCTGATCGAGTTAGTGATCTTGGGGTGCTCATGACACCAGATCTAAACCCTAGTGACCACATCTTGAACGTCTGTAGCAGTGCGAGCCGTGTATTGGGCCTTATCAACCGGACATGTCGACAGGACTTTCCAATTTCATCATTACGAACACTCTACGTCACGTTGGTAAGGCCGGTCTTGGAGTTTGCTGCTGTAGTTTGGACCCCTCATCAGATTGGTCACTGTTCTCAGCTCGAGGCAGTACAGAAAAGATTCTTGCGGCTAGTTGGAGCTAAACAGGGACAACGTTATTGGGATGTTGACTTGAATGAAATGGCACACCGTCTGAACCTTCCATCATTATCTGCCCGAAGAATGCTACTTGACCTGCTGTTCCTTTTCAAGATAGTTAACAACCAGATCGACTGTCCTGAGATCCTCCATCAATTGGACTTCAACGTTCCCCATCATGCTCGCCGACAACAGCTGTTCTGCAAGCACTTCATACCAACGAACTATACCTACCAGAGCACAATACCAAGGATCATGAGAGTTGGGAATGAGGTTTGCGCTGACTTGGACTTTTTTGGTTGCACCATCGAATCCTTTAAGAAGAAAACTGTAAATTTAATCTGTCGTTAATTCATGGCCATTGTTATTGTTATTATATTGTTACGTACTGTTATCATATCGTTGTTATTGTCATTATTTGTATAGTTATATTCTTGTTGAAAGAAATTGTTGCTGATCTTATAGAATTATGTCATTATAGGTTTTGTTGTCGTCTTGTTATTGTTACTATTTGTTGAAGTCTATTACCGGTATTGTTATCTTTTTTGTAAAAGTTTAAGTTATTGTTATTCTTTTTTCGGAGTCTTTATTCTTCACTTGTTATTGCTTACTAAAAATTAAATGTTACGACCTTGCCTTTTTTGAATTAATTTGAAAATTTGATTGTTTGTTGGATGTAGTTGTTTTCAATTCATTCTGTGTTAAATCAAACTGTGAAACTGGACATTGTTTTCAACCCATCATATTTATATTTGTATTACTTTTGTATTGGTGTATCGCCGTTTATAATAAATAAATAGGCCTAAATAAATAAATAAATAAATAGGCCTAGGCCTTAACTTATTATGATTGAAAATAACGTTTTTGGTTTGGTATTTTTCATAAAAGCGACTGAAGGGTAGATGGAAGGGTAGATCGATATATCCTTTGGTTAGTTAGGTAAGGTTGACCTAACCTAACTAACCAAACGATATATCGAATGAAACAATCGAATAATCGATATTTTCATTCGGTTGTTTGTGCCAACAGATATAGAAGTCTACCCCGATTGAATCGGAGGGTCTCATGAGGGTTTCACTATAAAAACATAGATGAATAAATTACATGTTGGGAACTTAAAATCAAAATTTACCTTGGGATCATAAATGGCTACTGCATTACAAGCACCATAGCAGATAAGGCCGTTATTACCCCAGTCAGCTGCATGAGGAGTTCTGTTGCATCCACAGGATATGAAAACAGGTTGTACACTAGCTATAACAGGTTCCATGCTCAAGCAAATTCTTGACAAAATTAAATATTATTTTGTGACATAAAAGCCCGAGAAATCAACAGAGATAACTTTTGAGTTAGGTTACATTATATTGTTAGGTTATGTTATGGATGTTCCTTCACTTCACTCATTCACAACACGACTGGGGACTCACTCACGCTCACACTCACTCCACTGACATTTCACTTCAATGTTCAATCCAATCCAATCCAATCACGCAGTCATTGTTGCCACCACCACCACGTTGTTGCTACCATCTTCAAAAATGTTCCAAAATCGTTTGATCCAAAGTTTATATTCCCGATCTAGTCGGGTAAATATAGGATATGACCTTAAAAAAATTGCAAGAAAACGTTTTATGGTTTTATTTTGTAGAGTTGGGTTTGCAGAATGACATACTAAAAGTTGCCAAAAATCGGTGCACGAGAAAACCACTAAAATCACAATTTAAAATGGCGGCTTTTTTCAACATTGGACAAATTAAAAAAACATATTTCACATGTATTTGTTATGCACATTTTTTCGAGATATTGACTTGGGACCACCACCTGTATTTATTGAGTGGTTAGTACTTCATTTTGATAGGGAACATGTTTTTGGCCGCCATCTTGGATCCGCCATATTGGACATAGATAATTTTCTTTCAATGTAATGATAGTGTTGTGACACATCATTACCAACTACATTTTTACACTGATTTCAATGCCGAAATCCGTTTTTAAATATCTTTATTCATTTAGAAGATATATACAAAAGAAAACTCTGCACCATACATTTCTTATGGACGTTTCGTAGTTTGATATATTTTTTAAAATTATTTTTCTTATATCTCCAGTTCTTATTAACGCTTGTAGTTCGTTCTAGGCTTAAAATATTCAGTAATGTAAGGGCTTTCATTTGAGCTCTTGATCATTAAAATCAGACGAGTTAAAGACCAGCTACAAACCTCAGAACAATATTAAATTTAACTTTTTATAAATATATTTTTATTAAAAGATTTATAACTCGGGTTGTTAATACGTCACCGAGTTCTTTCTGGTCTCAAATTACTCAGTAAATGTTTGGCTTTAATTTTATTGATCATTAAACAAAATCTGACAATTTTAAAATGAGTCATGGGCCATAATTTAACATTAAAATGTATTTATTTTGAAATTTGTCTTTAGTTAAAGACGTATATCCCCAATTCTAAATAACTCCCAAAACTCTTTATAGTCTTAAATAATTCGCCAAATTATTGACTTTTATTTTAGCTATGGATTACGTTCCGGGAGTTATTAGGGTTTGGGATATATGTCCTTAACTAAAGACAAATTTCAAAATAAATAAATTTTAATGTTAAATTAAGAACCATGACTCATTTTAAAATTGTCAGATTTTGTTTAGTGATTAATAAAATCAAAGCTAAACATTCACTGAGTAATTTGAGACCAGAAAGAACTTGGTGACGTATTAACAACCCGAGTTATAAATCTTTTAATAAAAATATATTTATAAAAAGTTAAATTTAATATTGTTCTGAGGTTTGTAGCTGGTCTTTAACTCGTCTGATTTTAATGATCAAGAGCTCAAATGAAAGCCCTTACATTACTGAATATTTTAAGCCTAGAACGAACTACAAGCGTTAATAAGAACTGGAGATATAAGAAAAATAATTTTAAAAAATATATCAAACTACGAAACGTCCATAAGAAATGTATGGTGCAGAGTTTTCTTTTGTATATATCTTCTAAATGAATAAAGATATTTAAAAACGGATTTCGGCATTGAAATCAGTGTAAAAATGTAGTTGGTAATGATGTGTCACAACACTATCATTACATTGAAAGAAAATTATCTATGTCCAATATGGCGGATCCAAGATGGCGGCCAAAAACATGTTCCCTATCAAAATGAAGTACTAACCACTCAATAAATACAGGCGGTGGTCCCAAGTCAATATCTCGAAAAATGTGCATAACAAATGCATGTGAAATATGTTTTTTAATTTGTCCAATGTTGAAAAAAGCCGCCATTTTAAATTGTGATTTTAGTGGTTTTCTCGTGCACCGATTTTTGGCAACTTTTAGTATGTCATTCTGCAAACCCAACTCTACAAAATAAAACCATAAAACGTTTTCTTGCAATTTTTTTAACGGTCCCTATGTAAGTTTGTTTAGTTTGCCTGGACTAATCGTTTTAGCCCAGTCAATAAAGGTTTTGTGTCGAAACAAATTAGAGACAGGCAAAACTATATACCAATCGTTAGTACCCAACTAGATATACATTTCCCCAAAAGTCCCGAAAAATCCCCCGGTGCTTTCCCCCCTACCCCCCCTCAAAGTCAAAATTGTATGGTTTTACTAAAACAAGTCTAGTACGTACAGTTTCCACATGGATAAAAGATTAACCTGGAAAACACATATTTGGTGTAAAAGACAACAAATGGACTTGAAGGTTCGTAAACTCAACTGGCTTCTAGGCAAAAAATCAAAGCTTTCATTGACCAATAAACTCACACTTTACAAAGTTATGATCAAACCTATTTGGACGTACGGGATACAGCTTTGGGGAACGGCAAGCAAATCCAACTTAGCAATTATTCAAAGATTTCAGTCAAAGGCGCTGCGAAGAATAGTTGATGCTCCGTGGTTTGTCTCGAATCAAACAATCCATGAAGATTTAAAAATACCTACAGTGATTGAAGAAATAACGAGTATTAGCAAGAAATATCAAGAAAAACTCGAAACCCACCAGAACAATTTAGCCGTTAACTTGCTGGACAATGGTGAATTTCCCAACAGACTAAAAATTGTGAAAGTTCTTGAACTCCCATACCGATTTGCATAGTTTTAGTTACATGATATGACTATTTATTTTTCCAAGATCTTTCACTGGAGAGATTCTTGGTCAAGTCATTTACTTATTTTCAGTTGCGGTCTGAGCGCCGATGAGGAAGGACCTCTTATCTCGTCGTTCCAACCTTATCTGAACGCGTGCCTAGTCCTGCTCAGTGCCTACATTACCGTCTGTTTTAGGTTATGTAAGTCTTTGCAACACATGTTATTTATTTAATTATTTATCTCGTTTTTCATTTCTGTGAGTCAGCATGAGTGGCAAATGCGGAAAGTGCGACGTCTTATGTTCGTCCGGTGAGACTACCGCCAAGTGTACCGCATGCAAGTCGACGTTCCACGCCACGTGTGTGCGCGGCTTTACTAAAACTAAGACTCGTTCGTGGAAGTGCGAAGGGTGCAGTGAAGAAGCCTCGTCAGTGTCATCCCTCGACAAAGACTCAAGTGAAGATAAGTCATGGTTTCTCAGTGCCCTAGATGACCTAAAAACTAAAATCAATTCTAACACAGACGAAAGGGTATCAGCTCTTCAACAACAGCTGTCTGAGTTTAAAATTCAGTTAGACACCATAGTCCGGCGTACAGACTCCGTGGAGACGTCTCAACAGCATCTGGAAGAGAGATGTACCAAGTTTGAAGAGGAAAACGTGCGACTTCGTGACGAGCTCCGGACGACGCGCATGCAACTCGCTGACATCGAGCAGTACTCCCGTGTCAACAACCTCGAGATCACCGGCATTCCTGTAACTGCGGAAGAAGACATTTACACCTGTCTAGAGATGCTAGCCAATGTCATCGGCGTTACATACAGGAGGGCGTTCATCTCCATTGCTCATCGGCTTCGTTTGTTCTCGGATAAACTCGACCACCCTCCCATCATCGTACAATTCACCTCGAGAACAGCGAAGGACGCCTGGCTGTCAGCGGCGAGGCGTAAGAAGACCATCGAGACCAGGGAGATCGCCGCAAACCTTCGTCCAGGGAAGGTGTACGTCAACGAGCATCTGACACCTCTCAACAAAACCATCCTGGGACGGGCCAGACGACTGAAAAAGGCAGGGAAACTGCACTACGCGGGATTCGTCAATGGCAAGATCCTCGTCAAGCTGTCCGAGGAAGCAGCCGCCATCCGGATCCAGCAGAAGGCAGACTTGGATAAATACGATGATGTTAACAGTAATTAGGTAAAACTACCATTTTTTTCATAATTTATTTTAGGCATGCATAAAATATACTACAAATCTACTACAAAATAAAAATTTATAATATTTTAATTTTATGATAAACTTATATGTTGTATTCAGTTATGTTTCTTTCTATGGTTAAAGCTAAAGTAGTTTCATTTTTATCAAAATATTTATTGATCTCAGTTCAGTTAGCTTTGCTCTTTGAATTTAAATTTAGAATCACTATTTTAATGTTTCTTTTAATCAAGGTCGTTGTTATTGTTATGTTTATGTCTTTCACATTTTTTTTTTTTTTAAAGCATGATTATTGCAACATAAATATGTTTCATTATTCATTAACTTTTATTTATTATTTGCAAGTGTTGACTTATTTTTTGTTTTTTTTACCAGCCTTTATCACTACCATTGAGAGAAAAACTAATTATCTAGTACTCTAAAGATCATGTGTTGAACAATTGCATGGAGTTTAATAAGTGAAATATTTCATTAAATTATTTGTTACCTCAGTTCAATCTTTGTAATAGCATGTTTCTTTGCATGTAAAATTAGTAGAATTATTTATTCAGTATTTAATTGAGATGCAAGGGATGCAAGAAAAGTCCATTAGTTATTTTATAATATTTATTACACCAAAATACCATTAATTTAATTTAAGCTATTCAATAACAATTTTATTTATTTAGTTCCAAAAGAAATTTATGTATTTAAGTGTTCTGAGGTAAAGCAATCCTAATAGTAAACTTTCGTGTATTAACTCATATTATATCTAATTCAAGTAATTTTCGATGATTAGATTTGTATGGTTTGATTAATAATTGCATAATTTCATTTTATGTATGTAAATATTAATTTATTATTTAAGTTATCAGGATAGGCACGGGCAGGGGGGCCTATGCGGGACGATGATTGGCAACATAGATGAAAATACACCTTTTGAATACGATTCTTGCTTGGAGCTGGATAATGTTTTTGAAACCGAAATTTTTTTTAATGAACCCCCAATAAATAGTAGTCTTAAAATATTTCACACGAACATCAGAAGTTTCTCAAAAAATTTTGACAATTTATCAGTGTATTTACAGTCTTTGAATGCTAATCTAGATATCATCGTCTTATCAGAGTGTTGGTTGAGCGGGGGGGAGGTGGGTCACATGGACGGGTTTGACTGTACAATGACGGATACACAAAACAACAAAAATGACGGAGTCATTGTTTTCATCAACAAACAACTGTCTGCTACCGTAACACAAGTAAACATCAACAGAGTTTTTGGTATTTCTTTGGAATTCAGTCTTTTTAATAAAACATTCAATCTGTTAGCTGTTTATAGGACTTTTGATTGTGAAATTGATCATTTTATATCTGGTTTGGAATGCTATTATAATCGCATAAGTAAAGATACTAACTGTATCTTTTTGGGTGATATTAACATCGACTTACACAAAACTGATGCAATAACGGATCTTTACTTAAACACTTTACTAGGTGCTGGACTAGTCCAGTGCATCGACAAGCCGACCAGAGTGACACACAACACATCTACTTGTATTGACCACATTTTTGTCCGTTTCCAAGATATGAGACGAGTCAAATCTGCTGTCATACACTCTCATATCACTGACCATTACAGCACTGCTCTTACAATCACTAACACCATTCATACACCTACAGGAACTGACACTCAGTCACAGAACCAATTTCGCACCTACATTGATCACGCTACATTAACTGAACATATTACAAAAACAGACTGGAGTCCAATCATGAGCAATCACGAGGTTAATCAGTGCACAGCATGTTTTTGTTCGACACTGAGTAACTGCATCAAAGCCTCAACTAAAACAATCAAACATCACTCTACAAGATTTATAAAAATAAAGCCTTGGATTACCGTAGATCTCATAAAATTAATTCGAAAACGAGACAAGCTAAGTAAAAAGATCAAAACCCAACCGTTTAATTTATTACTACTAGATAGATTCAGGGCCCTGCGCCTATCTTTAAATCAAAACATAAAAATTGCAAAGAAAAATTATTATAGGGGTAAAATTTCAGAATCTAACAGGGATCCAAAATTATTTTGGGGCATAGTTAGTGAAATATCAGGCAGGAATTGCACTAAGGACCATTTCCCATTTGAAAAAGTTTTACCTGGTTCTTCGAATAATGCGAACATTAAGATTAAAATAGCAAACGATTTCAATAACTTTTTTACATCAGTAGGTTCTAAATTGGCCAACTCAATAAATTCAGCTGGGGCTCCAGTCGTAAACGACGCTGACTTCTCACTTGACACGAATTTTACATTCAACACGGTCACACACGCTGACATAGAACGTTACGTCCAGGGTCTGCGCGGAGGGTCTGCGCCGGGCCATGATGGTATCTCGGCCTTTGTTCTTAAAGAAAACATCCACTCTCTATGTGCTCCTCTTCTGCACATTGTCAATATTAGCCTGACATCTGGTATATTCCCAAACGAGCTTAAATTGGCCAAGATCATTCCATTGCACAAATCTAATGATTTCACAGACATGAATAACTATCGTCCGATTTCTTTGTTAAGTGTAATTGCTAAGCTTTTAGAGAAAATTGCCAAAGACCAACTTGTTTTTTACCTCCACCAGTGCAATATTTTAAGTGAAAATCAGTATGGTTTCAGGAGTGACAAAAACATATCTGATGCTTTATTTGATATTAATAAATACATTAACGAGGCAATTTATGGCAACAAACGAAGCATGTTAATTTTCTTAGACTTGAAAAAAGCTTTTGACTCAGTGGACAGAAGTAGGTTGTTGGGTAAACTTGAGCTTGTCGGGGTGCGTGGCACCTCGCTCGCTTGGTTCAGCAGCTACCTCTCTGATAGGCTGCAAACTGTCGCACTTGGTGAAGTGGCAAGCGATGTATTGCCAGTGGAGTATGGTGTAGTCCAGGGTTCGACCCTTGGTCCTGTTTTATTCCTCATTTATATTAATAATATTTCTAAAATTCAAACAGAAGGGAAATTAACATTATTTGCTGATGATACTCTAATATTTGTAACCGGAGCATCCTGGGAGGAGGTTAAAAACAAGGCAGAATCAGACCTCTGTTTACTAAAAAAATGGCTTGATCAAAATGTATTGTCCCTTAATATATCTAAAACAAAATTTATGCCAATTTCATTACGCAAGATAACCGAATACAAACTTGATAACCTAACTATTCATGTCTGTGGAAATCATTTCAATAACTCTTGTTTTTGTAGCAAAATTGAAAAAGTTGATTCATACAAATATCTTGGTATTGTTTTTGATTCAAAGATGAAATGGTCGGAACATGTTGAATACCTAAAAAATAAATTACGTAAATATATTTATGCATTTAGGCAACTTAGTGATATTCTCGAAGAGCAAGAAATTAAAATAGCATACTATGCATATGTTCAATCATTGTTGTCTTTTGGAATTATTGCTTTTGGTGGTGCTTACAAAACTATCTTGCAACCTGTTTTTGTAGTGCAGAAAACAATACTTAAAGTTGCTTTTAAAAAACACTTTAGATATTCGACTGACGATCTTTTTGTAGAATCGGGAGTTTTGACAGTCAGGCAGTTATTTTTAAAATTTATTTTAGTTCACATGTACAAAAACTTTGATAATATTTTTGTAAAAATTACTCATCCCCACAATACGCGCTTTTCTCGAAATGTTGGTGTAAGTGTTCCACAATCTTTCAAATCATTTTCAAATACGAATTGCTTTCACTTAACCCAAATCATTTATCGTAACATGTGTAACAGATATCAAAATGTCAACATTCTAAATTCACCCTCTCTCTCTCTATTTAAGAAGCATGTTGTGGGGTGGCTTGTTGGTCTGAGTACAGAGGACACCGAGGCCGTTATCGCGTTGGGTGGACCTGACCGTTGACCCTACACAATCACTGATACACCACTTTCACTGACTGACTAATACACTACACCCCACCTCTCCTCTTCAATCTTCACCAGATATTATAAATTACCTCTGTTTGCATAAAGAATTTTTTTTTTTTTTACCGTCAATTTATTCCAGAACACTAAAAATTCAGCTTCAAGCAAGACAAATAAAAAAAAGGTTTAAATTATACGATTTTTTTTCTCTTATATATTTTTTACTTCCCATTTAAATTAATCTTTTCGCAACTCAGTCTACGCACAGGCCCTGCCTATGTAGACTTTTTCCTTTCTTATAGAATGTATTTTTTTTTTAACACTTTTATTTACTTATTTCTACAGTATATAATTTTTGTTTTGTTATCTAGTTAGTAATATTTTGCTGTTTCATATTTAAGAAAAGAAAAAAATACAATGTACTTGTCTGTAAATAATTAATGGGAAATAAAATATTATTTCATTTCATTTCATTTCATTTCATTATATTATGCCTTTTACTAATTGTTCACAGTTGTACTGAACAGATTGTAAAATAAAATAAAGTTAAAAAAAATAAGGTTAACATGGGAAACTCCAGAGCCACTGGGGCGGAGCCCGAAAGGATTTTTGAAATAAGAATATGCCTATATGTTAATCGGGAATGTGAGCTATCATCATGCCAAATTTCAGCCCAATCCGACCAGTATTTTTCGCGTTCACTTGTCACAAACATACATCCATCCATACATCCATAAATCCAAACTTTCTCATTTATAATATTAGTAGGATGGTAAAACGATGTTTTTGTTTTGTGTAATTGTACAACTGAAACGAAATACATTGTTTTTCACGGTGGTACAATAAAATCGTTTAAGAAAAATGTTCACCCTATTGTTATTTAAATGAGCAGCTCAGTTTATTTTACATACTTATTAACCAACAGTTGGCCACAAACGCAAATCCCGAACCCGAACATAAAAAAAACAGCGAATTATGTTTACTAAGTTAAGATTACAAAATAAATAAATAATGGTAGGATACTTAATAATAAAATGTTTACAATCAAATAAAAACAGAAATAAGAAAATCAATCATTCTTAATAATTGATAAATCGGGCCAGGGGGTAAAATTCCGGGGGTAAAAATCCAGCCCGTACATCTTCAGTTGTCTAAACGCTAGTTATATGGACAGGGGGTAAAATTCCGGTTTTGATAGTCAAATTAATCACGCTCTGTCTATTTTCATTAGACTTCCGAATCAGCGGGGGTAAAATTCCGCCCGCGAACAAACTTTTGAGCGCTGAGGTTACTACGTCATAGTGACGTCAGCTTTGACCAGGGGTACAATTCCAGGGGGATAAAATTCCGGCGACCCAAATAAAAAACAAGCTGGCTGTTTGTAAGGTTTTGAATTTTAATGGTAAGAGTTTAAGAGCGCTGCCCATGCTGCAGGATGGCCTGTTTTTTCTAGTGGGCCTTGGTTTGATACAAAATATTGTAAGATGGGTTGATTCAAACGTATGAACTATATTGTCTTTCAGTCTCAGATTGGGTAATTATTCCGACGTCATGACTAGTCGCAAAAGTGAGATTTGTTTTCCATAATGACCTAAATTTTACGCTGAATCCGAAAATGACGTTTTTATTTTTCTGTAAAGGTAGTAATTACCGTGGGTCGCCGGAATTTTATCCCCCTGGAATTTTACCCCCTGGGCAAAGCTGACGTCACTATGACGTAGTAACCTGAGTGGCCAAAAGTTTGTTCGCGGCCGGAATTTTACCCCCGTGGATTTGGAAGTCTAATGAAATTTGTCAGAGCGTGATTAATTAGATTAGCGATAAAAACCGGAATTTTACCCCCTGTCCATATAACTAGCGTTTAGGCAACTGAAGATGTACGGGCCGGATTTTTACCCCCGGAATTTTACCCCCCGGAATTTTACCCCCGGAATTTTACCCCCCAGAATTTTACCCCCCGGAATTTTACCCCCTGGCTGATTTTAGAAATTGAATGATTGATTTTCTTATTTCTGTTTTTAATTAATTGTAAACATGTCATTATTTAGTAGCCTATCTTTATTTATTTATTTATTAGAGCGTGATTAATTAGATTAGCGATAAAAACCGGAATTTTACCCCCTGTCCATATAACTAGCGTTTAGGCAACTGAAGATGTACGGGCCGGAATTTACCCCCCAGAATTTTACCCCCCGGAATTTTACCCCCTGGCTGATTTTAGAAATTGAATGATTGATTTTCTTATTTCTGTTTTTAATTAATTGTAAACATTTCATTATTTAGTAGCCTATCTTTATTTATTTATTTTGTAACCTCAACTAAGTAAACAGAATTCGCTGTTTTATTTTGATCATATTAACCAACAGTTGGCTTCAAAGATCGAATCCTGACACTCGAATCTCAAAATTTATATTAAAACCCTGTCCGATTAGTTAATGTTACATATAAATTAAGATAGGCTACTTAATAATAAAATGTTTACCATTAAATTAAAACTGAATGACGATAATTAATCATTCTCACTAATTTATATCTATGGCCAGGGGGTAAAATTCCGGGGGTAAAAATCCGGGCCGTACATTCTAGGTTTTTATAATTTGATGTGTTCTAATTAAACTCACAACCGTGAAAATATATGTTTAATTCCGCGTTTAATCCATCGAGCTGATGTCGCGAAACTCAAAAGTTCGCGGCCGGAATTTTACCCCCTGGTTTGTGACGTCACGTTTGCCCAGGGGGTAAAATTCCAGGGGGATAAAAATCCGCTACCCCATTACCGTCAAGGTAGAAACCGCGCTGCTGGCAACGCTACAGCAAACCATTATATCTCCCAGCCAGATAATACCGACAACAATGCCGTTGCAAATTCATGGAAATAATTCCATTCTACTACACAAAGTACTAGAGGGGGAGCGAGCTGGTCTAGTGGTTAGAGCGCGGGACTTCGGATCCAGAGGTCCCGGGTTCACATCCCGCCAAATCACCAATGGATTTTATCTATGTGATAATGCCCCTAGGCCCCCTAGGTCTAGCCTGAAGTAATGTGAAAAAAAATTCCGGGCTTGTGACTAGGACAAAAAAAAACTACACAAAGTACTCTGACATTGAAAAAAAACTGTTCACTTCAATGTTCATATTAACAAGGTTTGGAGTTGTGCACGTAACTGATTGTGACCGATTTGAATTCCTAACTTTGCCTGTTTAAATGGGTAAATCATCTTCATTTAGTTTCATTTAATTTCATTTCAATTACAACAGTTGTTTATAATATCCATCATAAATACCCTACAGCATAGTAAAGCATATTGTTACACGAAGAAGTTTTGGACGTTCATAATAGATTTATTGTTAATTGCTTTGTAAATAGCGTTTGATAATAAACAACATTACTAATCAAAGCTTACCTTCATTCCTTTCCTTTGTTTGCAGTGTACCCCAGTTGTCCACCACAGCTTCACATACTTCTTCCTTCTTCCCATAACTTTTTCTTTAATATAATGTCCAAATACTCTTTCAAAGATTATAAAGAGGGGGCCGTGCCTCCACTTCATCGATAAGTTAATCTACCTTCTCATCTCGCAAAACACTTACACTTGTAAATAAAACCTACCTAATGACAGATCAAACGAATACTTGCACTAAATGTTTACTGGTAACAGCTATAAGTCGGGACACATTTGTATAAAACATTAAAAAATAAGGCCGGCTTCTAAAAAATGATAAAATATTTTTACAACAAGTGTTCATTATTTCAACCCGTTATTATTAGCGTGAGTATTTCAATTAGTTACATAAGCTTAGTCTTATAAACTTATCGAAATTGAAAATTATGACTGTTATTACTGCAGTTTTAAATAACGCCTGTATAATAACGGTACTCTTGTCAATTGCTCAATTTTGAGCACGCATAGAAGATGACTTTTGTTTTTTTTATAACTCCTGTATAATACCAGTACTTAAAAATTGCTTGATTTTGAGCAACAGGCACACTGGTATCAATTATATAAGTAAAATATTACTTGCAACATAGGTTAGG